TGGCGATTACTTCCGCAAGACGGATTTCAGAGATTAAGGCGTTTTCTACATCTTCTTCTTGTTTACAATTCTACCAAGATAGGGTATGTCTGAAACCAAAGCCAGAGTTTCTTCCTAAGGTGGTTTCTCAGTTTCACCTCTCTCAAGAAGTGGTTCTTCCATCATTTTACCCCAACCCCTCTTCTCAGGAAGAGGTTAGATGGCAACGTTTGGATGTCATGAGCTGCTTGTCTGCGTATCTTAGACGTTCTGAGTCTTTCCGTAAGACGGACCAACTCTTCGTTTTGCCGTTAGGAGCTAGGAGAGGTGAGGCGGCCTCTTTGTCTACGTTGAAACGTTGGATTTCTCTGATAATTAAGAAGGCGTATGTCTCTAAAGGTCTATCACCTCCACAGGTGATAAAAACTCATTCTACTAGAGCATTATCAACTTCTTGGGCTAGCTGGGCAGAGGTTCCATACGATGATATTTGCAGAGCAGCCACTTGGTCTTCTCCGATGACGTTTATGAAGCACTACAAACTTGATGTGGAGTCTCGTTCCACCGCCTTTGGGAAGAGTGTCCTCTCTACGGTCTCTTTATCCAGTTGATATTAAACTTTCTTTGCTGCATGTGTTCGGCTTGGTGTGATTTTTACGTTATTATTTCCCACCCTAGATTTGTGAAGCTTGGGTATTACCCATAAGTGATGCTGCCATGATTAGCCAGGAATAGAGAAAATTTATGACAAACTTACCGTAATTTTCTTTTCCTGGCTATTTCTCATGGCAGCATCAGGGTTCCCGCCCATTCTCTATTTCAGCTTTATAATTGGACTGAGGTGTAAGGGGAGGAGGGACTCTTTATACCTATCAGTCTGATTAATTAATCTAATTAATTCCTGTCCTGTGACTACTAAGGGAGGAGCTACCCATAAGTGATGCTGCCATGAGAAATAGCCAGGAAAAGAAAATTACGGTAAGTTTGTCATAAATTTTCTCTATTATTCAGCTCCTCTTTATTTTTCTTAATATCAATCCCACCCACACCCTGTTTTGATTAATTAGTTTTTTGGAAGATTTAATTTTCATGAATTTTTTAAAAAAAAAACCTTTTTAAGCAGCCTTTACTGACCTCACTACAGCCCACTAATCCCAAGATTAGTTTCTGGATCTGCCCTTGGCACTGATAAGCTATTTGGGCACAAAGATGGCACTGATTGGCTATTTTGGGACAAAAATGGCACTAGGAAACTGTATGGGAACAGAGATGGCACTGGAAAGCTGGGCACAAAGATGGCACTAATAAGTATTTTGGGGGGCAAAGCAGGCACTGTAGGAACATGTTACCTGGTGAACTGAGGGGGCCCAAAGAGTTGGAGTGGTTTCCATAGAAAATGGATGTGGTTAGAAGTGTTATGTTTGCGAAGGGAAGGAGTTAGCTATATAGCCACACCCGCCTGCGGGGCGCCAACAATATTATTGCACCCAGGCGTCAGTGACCGTAGGATCAGCCATGAACATTACTGTGAGGTATGTTGTGGAGAAGCTCTGTGATACACTCCTCCACACTGCATATTACTGCAAGTTTTAATTGTTGTGGAGTTCTGTGATTAATTGGTACACACCACACATTACTGTGAGTCTGTTTTTTTCTTTTTGGTGTAGAGCTCTAAGACTAATACACACTGCACAATACTTTGAGTTGGAATTCCAAGGTCGAGGCTCATCCTGTAGTTGTTGTCCACAACCAAAAAATTTCAAACAGCGTAAATGAGAAAAACCCAGAGCTTCAAAGTAATATGTGTCTTTGTCAGTGTAGCTAAAAAATACCTATACCAACCTTGCTCTGGAGATGAAAATAAATTTAAGGATGCGTGGCCTAATGGATAAAGCGTCTGACTTCAAATCAGAAGATTGAGGGTTCTAGTCCCTACGTGGTCAATGTTTGTGAAGCTTCAAACACCAATGCAGAAGCCTGGATGTCATGTTCAAGTTTCTTTGTCGGTGAGGTAGCTCAGTTGGTAAATTCCCTGACTTCAAAGCCTGTTCACAAATGCAAGGTCTCAGGTTCAAATCCCGACAGTGTCAACTCAGCCCTTCATCCTTCTGAGGTCGATAAAATGAGTACCATCCCTAGTGGTAAGGGTAATAACACTGGTACTATGGTAAATAGAATTAACCAGTGTTATATGGTTAATTCTCTGAGAGCATGCACTGAGTAAAAGGCGCTATATAAATACTAGTTATTTATTACTTTATTGAGAGGGTAGTGGATGCATGGAATAGCCTTCCAGCTTAATTGGTAACACAGTAAAGGAGTTTAAGCATGCGTGGGATAGGCATAAGGCTATCCTAACTATAAAATAGTGAAAGAATAGTGAAAATAATGAAAGAAAATTGGGCAAACTAGATGGGTTGAATGGTTCTTATCTTTCTGTGTTCAAGAAAGAGGAACTCACTAAGCTCCAGGCTCTAATCTTGTTGCCCTGGAACACAGCACTGCAGTTAGGCAGCTTCACATTGAATGGCCAATAGGGTTCTTCACTAAACACTAGATTTTGTCTGAAAGGAAACAACCAAAATGGCAATGTTCATATTATAGCCATTTTCAGTCAGAATTCAGTCAACCCGACCAAATCTGCAACAGTAAGGAGGATGCATTCAGTGTCTGGTTTAAAAATCAGGGCTTTTCACTTCCAACCCGTATGCAAAGTACAGGATCCAGAATAATTATAAACAACGGATTATAAACCAAATCAGATCCGATTGCGTTGTGCAGGATGCACATTCCCAATTTATTGTTCACGTGCAAGCAAACAATGTTATTTACCCATTTGCAGCCATGTGGCAACTGGCCACCGCTTGCTAGCCAGCCACCACATTTAAAGGTTATAAAAATTTCAATCCTTCCTTATTGCCCCCTGTTAATGTATATGCCCTCATTATTGGATTTCTGCCCTCACCAGATCTCCCCTTCCTTGATATTTTGCAAATAACATCCTCTTTCTGAATGACTGGGCAACAATAGATGAGCAGTCTCTAAAGTTAGAGATGGTTGCTCAGTAATTAATAGATATACTGGTACTCCAGCATGGGGGATCTGGGCATGAGAGGTTTGAAGCCTCTACCAGCCCTGGAAGGTGGGCGTTTATTTTTAAGCAAATGGGGGGGGGGGGTAGAGGGGAAAATTTAACATTACAAAAATTCTGAACAAAAAAATGCACACCCATGTGTTCAAGGTCTGTCACCTCCGCTGGAATCATCCGCTGCACTTTCTATAAATTGTATTCCATATTGTAATCTGTTCATTTCAGTCCATTCTACTTATATTCTTTTCTTTTAGCAAATTGTTTTTCTTCAGAAAATTTCACCTTTTTTTGCAAGTCCCTTGAGATGGGTTTCCATCTTGTCATTTCTATTCCATCTCTGCTCCGAGCTATACATTTTTTTTTTTTTTCTTTGAATTTTCAATGTTGTACATTTTCTTTTCTAAAAATAACATTGTCAGAACTGGACACAACATTCTAGAAAACTTCTTTATAGGGGTTTTATAAAGTAACATCAGCACCTCCCTTATCCTAAAACAAGCCCCTCATACAAAAAGGTATTTGTTATCAAAGTAGAATATACATACATATACACAAACCCTTTACATAAAAATAAAGTTGATCCTTTGTTTTTTTGGTTTTTGGAATTCGGAATTTATTTTGGGGAATTTTCGAAAGTCGCAGCAGTTTTAAGCCTAAACTCACAGTTCTGATATCAAATAAATTATTATTTCCTTTTTCGCCGTCTGAGATCCGTCCAAACTGTAAGTGTGGTGTGGACATGTTACAAGCACAACTAGGACAAACCCAGCTCTTCTCATGTGCAGTAGCACTCGGAAGATCACAGCACACGGTTCATTTACAACATTTTTTTAACATACTCAGCAGCTTTACTTATCCAACAAGTGAAACTATGACTAGGTTTCACAATTATACATTCCCAAAATTTATGTTGGACGGAGGTTTATGGGCGAAATGGGGAACGAAAAGAGAAGGAAATGCTTCTGGTTGGTGGAGCCTCCTCCTAATCAGAGGGATCTACCTGCTGTGTTACTTACCTGTGCAAATGTTGCATTTTACAGAAGTTTAGTTGTAGATTTGTACAGATTATTTTGTTAAGGCATCAATGATTAAAAGGTTAGTGTCACAACACATACGTACTATGTATACTCTCTTTAAAGAGCATAACATTTCATCTATGTGTTACTCATGCATATTTACTAGCAAATGTAGTACAGATTGGGTGAAAAAAAACACTTTTTAAAAATTGGTATTTCTCTCACCTGTCAATTCTTTGGCATAGACTACTAAAGCAAATTTGAATAATAAGGAAAGCAGAAGACCCCTCCCACAGCGTATGGGTTCTGGTTGCCATGGTGACTTCATGTTTTCAAGAACAGGTTAAAGGTACCAAGATAGCGCAAATGGCAATATTTTATTTTACAAGAAAATTACTGTTTTGAGTTCAATATTAATAGTCTAAGAAACATTGATTGCACCAGTTGTACTTCCTGATCTCCTTCCTTTCATCAGATCAAGCGATTTTGAGATTTACAGGATTATTAACTAAAGCGAGGATTCAAAGATAATTTTAAAAGTAAAGTCAAAGTAGCTGAACTGAAAAGACATTCTCGAACTCAGCCTTGTTTCAAGTTTGGCTACGTTTACCTTGAATTTTAAATCCACTTTGAATTCACTCACTTTTGGCCAAACTGTGGTAATTTCTCTTACCTTGCATTTCTGTGAATAAACCGCTCTCTCTCATCCCCTAAATGTATTTTTCTTCTGTTTAAACTGATCATCCGTGACCATGACTGTGACACAAACACACCATCTGAAGATCGCTTTTTGAATCACCCAGGATGTCTCTTGCTCAAAACCAAGTCATTGACACATGGTACGTTTCAGTTTTAATAAGAATTGTGTTCAGAAGAAAGAATTTCACAAACTCGAGAAATGGAATCACACTGACTCAAACTTCAATGAGAACTCTTTATTGGAAAGGTACAAAACCAGTCACAGCAGTACTATGTACAGCAATAAATTACTTTGTGGCTGTCAGATAAGGAGAAATTGGTGCACACATACAGTACACAGGATTACGGTCTAGACATACAAACATAAATCCACAATTACTTGGATATATCCCAATAATTTATTTTATATTTATATGTATAAAAAAGCAGCACAGAAAAAATAAATATTGAAATTAGCCTACTGAATAACCACAGAAAAAAAAAAAATACAAAAAAAAAATCAGAAGGCGCTGAACATTACAACATTGAATACCCTTGTAGACATAAAAAGATAACTGCCCTTTTGGGGTTTGTTTGTCTAAGGATCCAAAATAATATGTAAGAAAAGTGATATGATACATAATAAATTGGAAGGAGAAGAAGTAAAAACAAAAAACAAACAAAAAAAAAAAATAACCCCAAACATATTTTAGAGAGTAAACTCATTTAATAACAGTAAAATTAGGGGAGAATATTACTGTGAAATGCTTTCGACATCCATTGGTATCGCACAGTTTCACATTTTAAATGCACACCAAGGATCATTTCGAATTGGATGATTGGAAGAGGGATGTATTAAAAAAGAAGTGCTCTTTACTCTTACACACATGTGCAATAAAATATTTCAGGCTCCCTTTCTACCGAACAATCACTTTTTCACTTAAAATAATAATACATAGGAATATGTGTTCATGAGCCAAAGGCCACGACAGAGAGAGATTAATGGCTAATTTAGATGTTGCTCTAATAGTTATAAATCCAATTAAGAATTATAAGCATTACCACAAACATCCAGCACCAGATTAATGAAATACATATTTTTGGGGGGGATGAGTTGATATTTAAGGAAAATGGTAAAAGAAAAAAAAAAAAATGTAAATAATTTTTTTTTTTTTAAGTTATAAGTATAGAAACTTTAGCACAGCGGCTTCATAGCATTTACCAAAAATGCACCGACAATTATAACAATGAAACAGCAACGGTGTATATTGGTTTAAATATGTACTCTTTCCCGATATTAAGGCGAATGTACCATTTAACATTTGTGTTAAGTCATATAATTCAGAAAAGTTTATTATATAAACATCCTATAGTTTATCACGGCAGCCAAAACATTTAGTGGGTTTTCACCATGGCTTTGGCATATATATATATATTTAGATCTTTGACTTACTGAAAATTCACAACTCTGACACAGACAAAAAGTTTCATCACTAGAACAAAAAACAGACGTATAACTCCATATATTAATTATAGAAAGAGGACTTAATACAATCATGTGAGGTGTGAGACTTATGACAAGCAGAAAGCTTTTGGAAGATACAGATTATTCGATGCAATTTAGATGGACATATGATGTAGACATTTTAAATTTGATTTAAAAAAAAAAAAAAAGCTACTTTTTATTTAGTAGCCAAAAAAAAAAAAAATCTAGTGTAGGTTTCAAATCCAGGGCTAGTCAATAATGGCAGAGTTGTTCCGTTGGGAATGAAGGTAATAAATAGAAACTATGTGACTTAAACACACACAGAGAGTAAAGAAAGGAAAAATAAAAATCTCATATTAAAAACAGGTGTAATCGAGAATTCACAGTGAAAAGGAGAGGGTTGTTTTTGAGCTGGGTGGACACACACTTCACTTTTTTTCTCTAAGGCATAAATGTAAAATCCTTTTGATTTATCAAGTAGTGAAAGACTGAAAAAATAGCATAAATTTGAAAGATTTAGATTTGTTGGCTTTATATAATTATTTGTACAGGTGTCCCCCCAATAAGGCTTTACGGAAAGTGATCAGTTCAGTTGTTTATTCTGTGTATAACTCAATGATGGCCAAGGTATAGCCCTGAAATCTGGTAGTCATAGGTTTACCATGATATGGGCAACGAAAACCCATCTGTTAGAATAGTCACGTTTCTTGATATCCTTTACGGTAGCTTTCATATGGAATGGCAGGAAGCTAAATAAACTTACCAAAGCTATGCCAACTATCTCGTTGCCCATAAGAACGCTTTACACTTATGTTTCTATAATTTAATTTCGATATATATATTTTAAACAAAAAAAAAAAAAAAAAATATGTATAACTGCACTAATCTTTACTGAAACTGATTGGGTCAGACCCGAGTGTTCAGTTCATCCTTGTATCTGTATTCATATTCTGATCCACCTGCATGCTTTCTGTAAATTCATCTCTTTTGTATAAATGATCAATTCTGGAGCAAAGTTCTAAAAGTGGAGTAATCAACAAACACATTCTATTGGCTTCCAAGGTAAAGACAACTCTTTGGAATTTTTTTCCCAGAAATGTTCTTTAAACCTTGAATACAAATTAGTAATCAATCTTACATTTCAATCATCAATTCAAAAATTAACACATTGTATTTTGCATATTTCCAACCCATATCTTACAGTAATGATAAATAACCCGACCTTGTATAATATATCCGTAGAGCTGGGTGCTCTGAGCAGAAGGAGATTGATAAATGTGGTACAATGGGAAAAGCGATGTTTTCATTCGGTAATATAAACATAAAAATACACAGAATCAATAAATCTTTAAAAACATAATTACATATATAAAAATAATATTAACCCGCAGATGAAATACGCACACAGTTCTACAGTGACGGCAAACTAAAACTACAAAATAATAGTAATAATTATAATAATAAATAGAGGAAAATAAAAACTCTTATACGCAACAAGATTCTTTGTGAATGTATAGTCGATATCTACAGCATGAAAAGGGTGAAGATCAACTTTTTTTTAGCTCAATTTCGGATTCTGAAAATTAAATCAGGTTGGCCAAAAGAGATCAAAGAGGGAGGGTCATTTCCTCCTTTCCCTAAAAATCTTCACAGTAACCCATATGCTTGCATTGTCTTCCAATAAAGAACTGCATTGTTAAACTTAAGGAAAAAAACAAAAAAAAGTTTTATTTTGCCATTTCCTTAAAAAAAAATCTGTAAGATAAAAAACTTTATTTTTAATCTTTCTTTAAATATTTCCATATGTTCCTTATTGATATCCAATATGGATTACCTACCATTTCCATGGTATTAACAGCATAATGCCACCCAGGTCCCTGTTCTCTGGCTAATCTCGGAACTGTAAAGGTCAGTTCTGGCCATCTGTAGCCATTGTGGTCATCTGCAGCTGTCCAGCTGTTAAACGATACCCATGATCCTCCATTTTTAGCCAGTACAAAGTGGCTGTGATCTAGAGGGTTTGAGTCACAAATCTACTGAAAATCTACAGATTGAACTATTCTTGATCTAATTTTTTCCCCACTACGACAGGGGAAAGGTGTCAAATTATTGGGCTAGCCTTTTCGTAGCCAAAACGTTTGGCACACGTCAAAAATAAACTTACATTTTTATTTTTTATTTTTTAATTATTATTATTATTTTTTTTTTTAAAGATCTACATACTGCAGAAGGCCTGTAAATCGGGGTGATGTTTTATATATATAAAAAAAAAAAAAGCAGAAATAATAAATAATAATCTGAATTTCTCTTATCTTGTGTGACACTATTGGCTTTGTGTTTGCATTTTCCAAGGAAGGTAACACTTCTATAAACAACTGTAGGTGTGTCATTCCATTAGATATGAATCAGTCACTGACTTCCATTCATTTTGAAGCCCACCAGCCCTTTTTTGCTGTCCATCTGCCTTTGAATATTGCCCAGGGAATTTGACTTTGATTGTCAGACAAAGCTCGGATGCCTTCAGAAAAAGTGCCAGAAGCTGGAAATCCTTATGTCAACAGCTATTTGTAAGAGCTTTAACCACGGAGAAGAGAAAATTGATTAAAACAATCTTGCAGGTTTCTTTTGAGTGAATAATAGTAAACAGCAAAGCAGAGGGAAGTCTGTGGGCTGCACTATGCTATGCACTGATGTTTATGAGTCATCTGGAACACACAGGTGCAATGTGAAGGTTTGGTATAGTGCCTACAACCACAAACCACCCCAAGCCAACTCCGTTACATCACTTCCCCAAGCAAAGCGCCAACATCAAATTAAACACCACCAACTATTAACCAAAACTACCACAAACGGTATTAAAAATATATACTGATGTCTGGAGATCCCCCTTCAACTTTCACAGTTGTGGTGAGGAGGTGAAAACTTGAGATGTCAAAAAATGTAGAATTGTGGGTTCTTATGAAAAAGGCAAGCTTGGCTCGTTGTGTACATTGACCAAAAAAATATTTTCCTCAGGCTAGTCTTCCTTTCTGTTAGACAACCTCAAAAAAATAAAATAAAAAAAAAACAACACACATACACACACACACTACTGTTTTTAATCAAACCTTTTGTCACACTAGTGTACTAGAGTCTCACAAAACAGTAAATTAAAAAGATGATGGGTACAGCATGTCCATAAAATGAAACCAAAACAAAATATAATTCCAGACCATTCTAACAATAGCAAAGTTGGTTTGTGAAGATACAAACGTGAATGTGTTTGAACAGATTAAAATAGCCAAATGATTGCAAAGTCAGGTCAAATATGCATTCACCTTTATCAGAGCCCTTAAGAAGAAGAAAAAACATTTTTACAAAAGCAATTTTTACAACTACGGTACCTTCTGAAGTAAATCTTCAAGCAAAACATTCGTTTTCCACAGATTCAGAACAAACTTTCCTGTAATCAGTCTGTTTATTCGTCCCATTCAGCAGACCTTGTTTCCTTGAAAATTTAATAAAAACAAACAACCAAGAAAGAAGCCTCTTTGGTTTTGGTCAAAGTCAACACTAACAAGCCAGTTAGGTTTATGCATAACGGACAAGCATCATATTATAGGTACGACGCACACTTTAATTTAAAAATCCTGTGGCTTCGATTTTTCCAATCCTCTCCATTGCATAAGACAGTAGTCCGTTCAAACCGTACGAATAAAGTTGAAATTTCATATTAACCAGCAAGTGTCATTTTGTTAAGCTTACAAAAAGCTTCTGCACACATTTTACATATAATAGACCTGAAATAGTTGAAACAACGGGAATGAAACATGCATTATTTCCTCCATTGCTTCTTTTTATTACCTGATTAACTCGGTCTCCAAATATCTGCCAAAATCTCATTTCACTACAATAATAAACTTTTAGGACAAAGAAAAACTGGCAGTAACCAATACCACACTATTCAAATTGAGAACCTGCTTATAGCCAACTTACAAAGCATGAAAATCATATATAGATGCACTTACTAATTCCAACCACAACCATCTTCCTTTGCAATCATTTTTTAGCAGAGTCCAAATAAGTAACATCTGTACTCTTCATAAACCAGGTAAACCGTCGGAAGCTTCAAAAGGCCTCCTTAAATGACAAACAGCAGCAGTACACATGAGACTTACAACAAAACAAAACATAAAATAAAAAGTTTATCTTTCAATAAACCACCCACCGCCTTTTCCCTTTTCAAATCTTCAGAACTTTCCAAGTAAGAAAGCAGCCTCACTTAGCACAATGTTAAGGTATCGTGATCAGCTCATAGTGATCACTATTACTGGGCCTAAGAGTTATGTGTATGTTTAATCGGCATTGGTAACCAAAAATGTAGCTTTTGTTTCATTCCTCCCTGTCAACCTAAACACTGCATGTAAGCTCTGTGTTAAAGGTTTGTTACCATCCAGCAGCAGTAACTGATTAAGCTTAATTTTACACCAATCTCTAGGAATTAACGGTGATTAATGTCATATTATAGCGGCTATGTCAACACCACCACACCACGAGCATTTTATGAAGATAAAATCTTTCTGAAATGCTCATAAAGACGGTGTTACAATTTCACTGAAATTCCAACCCAGCCATATATATCATGAGACTAAGTAGGGTCTACTTTTCCTGTGCTTGATGAAAAGGCAAAGCTATAAATGATGTAAATAAATATTACCCTTCTTTTACTCAACTGCTGACTATTTCACAAAATTCCACCAGCGAGGAAATGACTCATTGTGAAGTATGAGGTATGTAGTCAGATAGGTGAATGGTACCCTATATGGGTGAATTCCATCTGATCTTTCATCGTCATCGGTTTATAGTGATAAAGTCTTAACTTTATAACTGATCTGATTTAATTTGAAACTGAGAGGACTATAGAAAAAGAGTGGAAATTATAAATTTGTATTGAAATGTAAGTAAACTTTTTTTCTGATTTAGGAATCCTAATTTAAAAGATGTACTCAGATTTAGATATACACAATACTATATAAGCTTTCTGGACACTAGTTTTCTAATAAATAATGCAATAAAATGACAATGATAAAAAGAATGCACAATACAGGGACGTATTCACAAAACATTGACTTGTGGTCAATTTTAAGTGAGGTAAGGAATAAAATTAAGCCTAGCTTGAAATCCCCCAGCCCTTACCATCCCCCACCCCCAAGGACTACTTTGGCCTAAATTTTGCAAAACATTTCTCACTGCTTACAGGACAAGATCTGTAGTCATTTATAACAGTAACACAATCACGTATGAGACAAGAAAAAAAATAAATACAAAGCAAAACTACAAGTAGAAATCCCTATAATTTCCTGCAGGTTACAACATTTCCCGGAATAACGCAACTGCTGTTCCTATAGAGCTTACAGTCTAAATACTGAATGAGCACAGCATTTTTTTCTGAAACTGGTTTCTCAACTTTAAAATAAGTGTAACGATTAAGAGTTTTCAGCAAAGCTGAATCTCTCCATATATCCAAGTTTTCAGAAACCCGGAGCCAGTGGCTCTGACTTTGTACTAACTCAGCATCTAATCCTTGCGTTACTCAAAGGGAATTATTTTTTTTATTTTTTTTTATTTTTTTAAATCGCTTTGTTTCATTCAGAAGGCATATTTTAAACAACGCAGCCACACATTCAGTATCTGGATGGAAATGTCAGCTGTGAATTTGCCAGGTTTAGCCAAAAACAAATTTGTTCTTAGAAATAGAAAAGAGAGCAGTGTAGATCAGCTACTAAACCATACAACAATTAGCATCACTTTCCTCATTACAGAGATGTGTTTCAAGAATTATTGAGAGGCACAAGTTCTAGCCCTTAAACAGGCAAAAACTTTGTCCATAAGTAGACTGTAAACATATTTCTTTGCTTTCAAAGACTGATTTTTCTTTTTCTTTTTTTTTTTTTTTTTTTAAATCTAGCTCTGCAACATTATACAACTAATTATAGTTGGCACCTTACATACTAAAATGTATACGGTGACTTTTTTGGAGCATCTGAAATAAGAGGAGAGTGATCACCTTCCACTTCTCCCCTGTAATACGATATTCATATTTTTTTCTCATAAATATTTGTTTATGCAGGGTCCAGGTAGCTCAAGATTAACAGTTTTCATAGATATAAAAAAAACAACAAAACAAAAATACAATTACAGACTCTTCAAACCTCATTCAACAGAAGGAGTCAAATTCCCTGGTACAATTATGACAGGGCCATAGTTCTCCAGTCACATGTACGGCCTCTATGCATCATGTTAGGAGGGCAATGGAATAAAAGGCAATGCCTTCATTAGGCAGGAAAGGAACGGAGAATCTATGTAGGTGAATCCCACAAAGTCCCTTTTAGAACAGGCTGCTAGTTCATTCCATTCAAGGACACTAGGATGCTGCTGAAAATGGTATGGACGCCGATGAGATATCGGCAGATTTCACAATGGTGATGACGCTGGTGGTAGCAACCTTGGTTGGGGTGATGGGACCCCGAGCAACTGTGCGTGCGAAGGTCTGGAGAGCTTCGTATTTGGAGCGCAGAGCATCCAATTCGAGTTTCATGCTTGAGTTTTCCCTTGCCAGCTTATCGACTTCTTGTTGCAGCTCCACACGCTGCCTCTCCAGCTCTTCTTTCTGAGTGACTCGTTTTACTCTGCAGCTGGCAGCGTAACCGCGGTTTTTCAGTGTGCGCCGACGCTGCTTCAGACGGATGATATCTTCTTTGGATAGACCTCGGAGGTGCTGGTTTAGCTCCCGCACAGACATTGACACGAGTTCATCGTCGCTTAATACTGGGGCGTTTTCTCCCGCCTCCTTCTTAACCTGCAGAACGTGCATTACGCATTAGTACAAGAGCCAATGCGGAATATCTTGTGAATGATTCAATATGGTGAAACGTGCTTAACACACACACTTTAAAAATATATACACACTGTATTGACCAAATACAACAGGTTTAGATTGTTTGCTATCTGTATTTTCTATATTTTCAACCTTATAACACTCAATGTAATGAATAGTGGGGGAAGGAGATGCTGCGGGTTAAATAATTCACATCTTTTACTAGTTGTTTGGTTCACCCCTTACAATATAGCATATGGAAAAACTGCAGAACGAATTGTGCTCTGCAACAATAGATATTTTTAAATTACATGAATGGAGTGTGACTTACTGAATAGGATGGCAAAGGTCACCTAAAAAGTAACAATCATACTTAATAGTAAAAAAACATTGAAAAAAGTGAAAATTCCACATATAGAGAGAAAGGACCAGGGCTGCATTCAGAGACCTGAATATGTGGGTAGGGGACTTGGCCAAGCATTCGCATGCCATACATGCAAACGGAGTACACTTGGATAGTCAATTATTAAGTAAAAATCCCTACTTTAGTTTCACAGGAAAAACAGGCAGGGTTATAGATGCAGTGATTTTCACAAAACTATTTACTTGTTTCCATGATTTTCTGCAGGGAGAGTTTTACTTGCTACATGTTGCCTACGGTCAGCATACACCATGGTGATGTGGATTATATTGGGATTATATTAGGATACTGGTAGCTCTGCTATGTGTACTACAATATTGATGCAGTCGTGCCCACTAGGGAGATAGCGGTTTCAGACTAAGAAAAGTGGGAAGAAGCTAAGCATCCTTTTGCTCAGGAATCAAACGACCCTTAACTTAGTATCTTTACTAACATTAGGAATTTATTTATTTTTGAACATAATGCACTTTTAAACGTGAAAATATTGTTCATCTTGGTAAATGTGCTAATGGATTAGATAAGTAGTGTATCTTTGATTTTAAAAATGGCTGTTACAATTCTTCCTAAATGCTGAATTTGCATCAGTCCAAAGCATGCATAGGGCTACTATTTTTGGACCACAAAGCTCACTGGAACCATAGACCAACAACTGATGGAAGCAATTTGTTTCCCAGCTTTATGCCTGGAGGAAAAGGATGAACACATTCCAGGAATCTGAAATACTGTTCTTTTCAAAATCTTACATTTTTGAAGGTTAAAATATATTTGTTTTCCCCAATCAGGGGAGTTTCAGCGAGGTGTAGAGGTATTGCTTCTAACAAGCGTTACTGTAGACACGTTTTTGGGGGGGTATTTAAGAATTCATATTTATGTGGGCAACAGCATTTATGCCTTCTCAAAATAAATACAATATAATTTTCCTAAAACGTGCCTATTTGCTCATAAATAAGACAGAAAGTTGTCCAGCCCAATTTCTAAATGTACACACCTCTAATGTTTACAATATTTTGTCAACCACTACTATTCTGGGCAACACAATTCACAAACATTAAAGTTTTCAAGCTTACCTTTAATGCCTTGTTTGATTTAGGATTAGTCGTCATAACCTGTAAACAATCACCAGGACAGAACGGTGCAGAAAAAGCAACTGAAAAAAATAATAGAAGTACAGTTACAGATATGAAAAAAAAAACACCTTAATAATCAAATGCAACAGGAGGGATATATAACATGCAAGTAAATATACAGATACTTTGTAATATAGTAAACATGATATGCCACTAAAAGGCTGCAGTTTTACATGCAAAAAGTGAAACATGCTTACCATACAAATTATCTGTGATTAGAGTAGGGTAAGCTAGCTGACTGTGCAAAATCACATCAAAATGACATCAAACGTAAAAGAGACAAGCATAGATATCAAATTAAATAACATTTAAAAAAAAAAAAGAAAAATGGTTCGCAAGAATAAATAGATTTTAAAAAATAAATAAATAAAAGCCACCCAGCAGCTAGTTAGTGTAGAAACAATAATGAAACGAGCAGAATTGGATGAAGGGAACTGCCCCCTGGGTGAACAGATAAACAGCACCAGAACTGAATGTGTGCGTTCTAACAATATGACATTGTGACACACTGCTCATTATAAACCCGGTATTTAAATCATTGATGAAAGGAAAATGTAGCTGAGACACTACCGATTTGCAAAAAATAAAAAAAGATGGTTGCTATGGCAACCATGAGAAACCAGCCAACTTGGAGATTGTAACCATGGATACAAAGAGGAGAAAAAAAAAAAAAAAAGAAGAAAAAGGTATAAGTGCAGAGATGATTTGATGGCAACTCTACAAAACTGACCAGGAGAAGAGAAAAAAAAAAAAATCTTAAGCAATGCCGAGTGGGAGCAAATTGTGCAGTGTTTGCAAAACAAAACAAACAATTAGAGATCCAAACAGTACACATTGTGGCTAAAAGGGAGTACTACCATTCCCATGATTAACAGCCAGGCCTTGCAGTTATGCAAACAGGTACACTTGCTCTACTGCATGGGAAACAGGATGTGTTCAAGAACCATGGGAGCAGAATTTCATTCACAGCTCAGAGTTGCCTCTGATCTCAATGGATGTGTTGCCCTCAGAGACTTTGATGGCTAGATCTTTAAGCTAAAAAGAAAGCGTCAAGAACGAATATCTTGTGAAACAGCTACAAAGGTCACCTAATGTTTCATCCCAAAAATATATATCTGAAAGCAACAAAACTTGACACCTCAGGCATGCAGACACAAAACCGAGATACAATGACACAAGGTAAGCTGATCAGTCTGTAACATTACATAGAAAAAGAGAAAGCTGTAAATGCTTTATAAAAAAAAAAAAATAATGACAAACACTAAAAATTGGGATACAGTGAACATGTAAGCACTACAGATATATCTTCTACTGAATTTACCAATTCATAATTTTAACAGAAATTTTTTTTTTTTTTTATATAAACTAAAATATTACATTGTTGCATTTCTACTTTGGTTTTCAGTGATTCCATTTTTTTTGTCAAAGTTCCTGCTTCCCAAAATAGCCTTTGTTTATTACAACATATGCTGAGTGAAGCTTGATGCGATGATGAGAAAGACGAGAATATGACACTGTTGATTTTAAAATTGTAGGCGGCCAAGTTCAAGAACTGCAGTTGCAGACCGTCCTCTAGTAACTTGCATGTTTAACGTAGCTTTGCAATGATGTAGGATTTGTCCGAGAATAAATCTCTGTGCCAGACTACGAAAGTCATTGGATACGTCTTCTAAAGTCCCTCTAGTATATAAAAAAAAAATTAAAAAAAAAGTTTCTAAGGTGCCACTGAGACGGAAAAAAACGGTTAAACATTTAACAGAACTATTTTCTTCCCATTGATTGATCAACAAATCGAATGGTGATCTTTGATTAATTCCTTTCCCACTTTAGACCATTTATGAACACAGTCTTTTCCATTCTGAAGCAGGCTCGCCAAAGAGAAGCGAGATCGAACCATTAGAGATCATAGAAGCAGAAACAAGCCAGAATGACAGTTCTCTGTACTATAAAAAACAAAGTGCTGAACTTGTGTGCTAGCAGACGTGTTCAGATGCATGATAAAAATAAACCAAATCCGTCTCTCGCTTGCCAAAAAAAAGAACGATTTGTCAATGTCGAAGATGTAAACAAATTAGGGGGGTTGGGGGGAACCCCCACAAAAATAAAATAAAAAACACAGCATAAAGTCTCAAATTCACAGTAAGGTTCTTTTCTTATCCAGCTAAATCAAATTGAAAATTCAAGCAAGGCTTTGCAGCACATGTAATCCTCACCTGGCTATGAAATCGATGACCTGCAATGGTGCTTAGTGTGTAAATATGCTGGTTGGGGCCCTGTTCCCCGCAAAGACATTGCAAAGAGTACACCCACTCGCTTACACAGAAGGAAGCCACATTGAGGGAGGCCCTCTGATCACTGTGTGACATAGCAATGCTCTGACTCATCGGCTGTTTACAGTCTTTACAGCTCTCACATTCCCACAGAACCAGACCAGCACACTCCCCTGTCTCCCACGTGCTTGCAGACGCAAACTATAGTAAAAGGAGGAAGTCCCCTTGCAGTCTGACTTTTAAATCTATGTATGTGGGTTAATGCAGTGACAACACCATGCATGACCTTAAAGGGCACAGATTGCTACAAAACACTTAGATGCAGAGCACGATAAACGCCACGAGTCATTGCTCTTAAACATTACCGATAGATCCTTATTTACTGGAGGACTAGGGTTGTAAAAATTCATAATCATAATAATAATGCAATAGCAGAGCATCAATTATGTGGGACACTCTTTGCAGCTTTGTCTTAAAATACATCACTTAAGGTTGATCATCCATCAAAACTCAATTATCTGAAAGCATGGGTCCCCTGTGACGGCAGATAATCAATGCACGTAATCAGATTTGCTTTGAAACCCCTGACCTTAAAGGTAATTTAAATCCCAATGGAGTTATTTGGTTATGTACTGCCAGCAAAATGGAGTAACTGAGATGATACTTGGGATACGTATGGGTTAAAATATTCAGGGCTGAAAATGTCAAATTGGGAGTAAAATTTTGCCCTGGTGAGTAGCTATTAAGGCCTGGCTAGTAGCAGAAGACTTGATATTTTAAGCCGTGCAAATATTAGCCAGTTCCCAAGAGTGATAACGATATACAAGGTGATGACGGTATCTAGAGAAGTACCGTTTTCCCCATCATGTCATTAAAGAGACGTGACAAACTTAATACAAGTCTGCTGAGTCTCTTAACAAAAATAGAAATAGAAAAAGAATTTCTCAAAGATTCAGGACTTCCCTAGCCTTGTGTGGCAATATTGTAGCGAAGTCTACAATGTAGATTTAGGCTGGCTTAAATACAGCCATATTCAATCATCATTCAATTCACTAATGTGTGGTAACACCTAATAAACTGTAGTATATGTAATGAATAGGCTTTGGAGCGGCTGCTATTAAGTTTAAAGGGACAGAGTATGACAGCATAACCCATCAACCTCATATTGCTAGCTCACGGCCCACCTTACTGAGCATCCCACACTGCATATACAATTACAAGTCAGGACCTTTACATGTTTAAAAACGCATCAAGCCATTACACCTGTTAATTATGAACCCCTCACTTTGGCCTGAATTTACCAGAAGGGCATCATTTGGGGATTTAGGGCCTATAGTACTGTTCAGCAGGGTTCATTTGTGTTAATGTTACTAAAACATCACATTATACCAGAGCCCAGCAATACTTCAGCATAAGGATGCTGTGGTGATTAGCACTTACAGCAGCATAGTGAATGTGCTTCTTAGCTCTAACATAGGCTCAGGTCCTACAACCTCTAAACTAACGTCCCATCATACGTGGACCGCCATTAGCCTGGCTCGCATCGTATGGCATATTGTATATGAATTGCTGCTGTGATTAAGACACAAACTAAATGGGAGGATACCGCTGGTTTAAGGAACCAGCCATCTTTCTTGTATGGTTTGTAACTATTTAAAAGCTTTCACATCATCCGAGATGTATATTTACTCAAGTTTCCATACCTAGTATGTGCAATGCATATTCCGCAAGATTCTTCATTGCCTAATTGTGTAATCATATAAACCTTCTTCTGAATTCTACATACTACAGGGCAACCTTTTTAACTTGCTGCCCATCAATATGTATATGTGTCTCTGAAAACATGGTGGGTCTCTAAAACCCCTGCTCTATCCCCATACATTGTTTTATGCACGTGAGGAGGAAGTGGGTTGCAAAGCCTTCTCTAAAAGAGCTTCATATAGCATAAACTCGTTCAATGGATTAAAAACAATCAACGGATAAACTATGCAGTTGCAGACCCTGCTTACAGATTCTCCTGCAAGCAGGATCCAGTTAGCTCCACTAAGCCAAGCAGAGCTCACATTCTTAAAGGGTTTGACTACTTGTGCCAGGAGGTTGCTAGGGCAATTATGGTATCATAACCACTAGAGCAGAGTGTTTCTTTAATGGGTATTACATTGTATGAGCTGAAATGCTAGGACATGTGTAGATTTTAATTTAAAGCTATAGTCCATTCCCCACCTGTCAATCAAATCCTTGGCATTAGACCTGTGTGCTGGTGACAAGGGCTGCATGTAAGTAATGATATAAAAGCTCCCAAAACATATAAATATATGGTATATCATATATCTAGCGCATAGGGAGCATTCATCTGTTATAGCGTAAGTATAATGCCTGATTTGCTTTAGAATGAGAAAACATAACTAAGCCTTTATCTTGGAGATTCAGCTTATGAAAACATTTGTGAACGCTAGGTTCATTTGAAAGAACATTCTTTTTTAAATTATAAAACACCTGCTCACCATATTACCCATTTTATAATTCTTCTACAATACCCTTAGACATGGCACTAGCATATATTATTGTACTTTAAATTCATTTTCATTTGCACTCAGCCAACACATTGTGTATTTGCTTTTGAATTAGCCATCCAAAAAGGACCCAACTGAGAGATCAAAATGCCCTGGGGACATAGGGATGTGACATTACATGCGACAAAGAGAAAAGGTCACTTGAAAGTTTGATGGATGGACGGACAGACAGACCCCTTCTCCCTAAACAGATGGATAGACATACAGATAGACGGGGTAGACATACGCACCCGGTCTTTGTGCCACTAGCAATGCTTGAAACCAGGAAGTCAGAACTTCTTGGAAAACTGCATAATCTGATATTTATAAACATAAAATCAAAACAGTCAGAACCAAAGACAACGATAATTACATACAAAGTAAGAGCATTTGATCTTCCACATAATTATTTTACGTATTGTATGTATGGGATCTTGCAAAGCAGACACACTCCAGCCTCCTCAGACAAACAGAAAACAACTTGCATTGCCAATTATGTAGATGGCATTGCTGGTGGATACATAGAAGGTATTGATATATGAAAGAAAACGTAAAACAAGTTTGTAAACAGCCTTTTGTATTATGTAACTTCAAAATAACATTTATAATAAAATGTAATTAATAATTCAGGGGTAGCGAGGCTATAACATTAACCTTGGTTGAATTTTTGTAAGTTACATGGTTCAACAAAAATCTCATAAAAGACACCAATACTCTACACAATATCTCAGACAATCAATGCCATTTTGCTTGGATATAACAAACAACGTGGAGTCAACTCATGCTTATTATCAATAGGCCAAGAAGTTGGAGGTTTACGGACACATGAAAGAGCCCCAGTTTATGTCAAACTATTCCCTAAACGAGTTAACATTAAATTGGAGAAAACCCCGGGACACTCATAGAAACAGATTGTGACGGCAGATGAGAACCATTGGGCCCATCTAGTCTGCCCAATTTTCTAAATACTCTCATTAGTCCCTGGCCTTATCTTATAGCTAGGATAGCCATATGCCTATCCCACGCATGCTTAAACTCCTTCACTAGCAGCATAATCAATAAAGTGAGCTGTAAGGGATTATGCTGCCTACAGTGTTCATTTACAGCAGTATGATATATTGACAACAAAAACATGGCTGATTTTCTTTTGGTTTCTTTACAATTAGCAGTGAAAGGAATACAAAATGTTAGGCGTCAGCAGTAATAAAGGATTCATGCATCTGTGTCTTTAAGAATGCTGCTTTCATACAGAGAGGAATTCTGACAACTATGAAAGGAAATGCAATAGCATACTTCACATCTGACTCACTTATGGCCCTTGCCAGTAATTGTAAGCCAAATGCAGTTAAGAGGCATAGAAGGGTAAGACTGTAATTTGCCTTTACACTAGAATGTGTATTTTTTTTCGTCTGTCATAGGAGGGCAGCTGAAAGTGCGGCATGTAATGTATAACAACAATGCAGCATAAAAAATACTCAGTGTGTGTAAACCAAAACCAGACGGCACAAAGTACATGGGTGTTTAAAAAACAAAACAAACAACTAACATGCATTTTATTGAGTTTACTTACTTATTTTGAAAGAATGCAACACATATGGAATGGACTATAATCTGGAGCTAAAGGGCCTGAGGGTGTTCTTGGATCTGAGACTGTCACCACTTAGAAACAAACGCAGAACGAAAACATTTAGCAAATTCACAAATGAACATGTGATCAGCCACGAGATAAGAAGGCAAATGTGACTGATCTGAGAAGTGTGCAACTTCTGACGTCTTTTAGATGGGTAAGTGGGTGTACATGTTGCAAACTGGGGAGTTAGATGGCAATTAAAGAGGAAATAAAGGAACGGTAAAAGGCATGAGTATGAACCACTGTCTAGCCGCACAAAAAGAAAAATAGTTTATTAAATCCTTGTCAAAGACCAGATGAAGTCACAGGTGCATAACTAAAGGGACAATGTAGGCACCAGAACCACTACAGTTTTATGTAGTGGTTCTAGTGTCTTGAGCCTGTGTCTGCAGGCTGAGCATGGTAAGTGTTTATATTACTGTCCAAGTACACCTCTAGTGACTGTCATTCACTAGATGGGCTTCCTGGGTTCAGTCCTGTAATGCCGCACTAACTCTCTAAGAGAAGATACAGATTGGTGCGGCAATTTGTTGCGTATGCGTAAGAGCCTCTCATTGACTCCTTATGGGTATGCATTGATTATCTGTGGTGGGGTGGCAGTGTGGCTACACAAACGCTTGTATAGTGAGGAAGTACAGGTAAGTAAAAAAGCTTTCTTATTTGTTAAGGGGGGGGGGAGGGAGAGAGAGGTGGAGGGTAAGATAACACTATAGCATACAGAATATGTTTCTTTTAAAAACTCTATATAGTGTTCCTTTAACATTCTATAGCACTGTTACGCTATTCCTATATGCAGTGCTATCAGAGCACAATAAGGGGTTCCAAATGGTTCTAACATAGAAAGGCAAGGGCTGACCTACAGATTCCAAAAACCTGAATCATCTAATTATATATATATATATATATATATATATATACATATACACACATATATATACACACACACACACACATACACATACATACATACATATATATATATTTTTAAACAATTACGTATGGAGGAAAAACAAAATATTTCAAAAAAAATGACTAAAACCACAAAACATACCCAGGCTAGGTTTAGTTTAATTTAAAACAAAAATAAAAATGTATCTGAAGAACTATTTACAAAATAAAATATGCACAGAATTGGCATAAGCACCCTGGGACTCTATTCCGGACTGTCTGAAGTCACATGTGCTTGGGGTTTAAAGAGACACAACAGGCACTAAGACCACTTCAGCTTAAAGGAAGTGGTCTGGGTGCACAGTTCCAGGTCCTTTAACCCTGCAGAGGCAATTCTGTTTTTTTTTATAAAATTCAATAATTTCCTTTGAGGGTTAAAGGGACACTCCAGGCACCCAGACCACTTCTGCCCATTGGAGTGGTCTGGGTGCCAACTCCCACTACCCTTAACCCTGCAAGTGTAATTATTGCAGTTTTTTTTATGAACTGCAATAATACCTTGCAGGGTTAACTCCACCTCTAGTGGCTGTCTACTAGACAGCCACTAGAGGGCACTTCCTGCTCTATAGCACAGAAAACCTGTGCTAGAGCGTCGCTGGATGTCCTTTATGCTGTGTGAGGACCTCCAGCGTCGCTCAATTCCCCATAGGAAAGCATTGAAAAGCATTTTCGATGCTTTCCTATGGGGAGCTCTAATGCGCATGCGCGGCATTAGTTCTCCCCGGCCGGTGGGCGGGATCAGTCTCGCCCACCGGCCAACGTAAAGACTGGGTGGAGCGGCGGCGAGAAGAAACCACTGCCGAGGGACATCGGCGGGGTCTCAGGTAAGTGACCTGGAGGGGTTTTCACCCCTTCAGCTACCGGGGGATTGGAGGTGGGGGGGGACAGGGGACCTGCAGTGCCAGGAAAACGGATTGTTTTCCTGGCACTGGAGTTTCCCTTTAACTCCACCTGTAGTGGCTGTCTGTCAGAGAGCAAAAGAGGGACTTTTGGTCATCTGATGCTGGACGTCCTCACGCTATGCCTAAAGAACATCCAGCGTCATTTAAAACCCCATAGGAAAGCAGTGCACGTGTTCCTATGTGGGAAATAAAAATGCGAGTGCGGCCATTGCCGCGCATGCACATTAGGTCTCCCTCGCCGGCTGACAGCGGGTGAAAAGCAAAGGCAGAGTCCGAACAAGCACCAAGGAACATCAGCACAGAACTCAGGTGAGTGACAGAAGGTGGCCGCGATGGAGAAAGGAACTATAGGGAGCCATAGTGCCAGAAAAACTACTTTGTTTTCCTGGCACTATAGTTTTCCTTTAACTAACCCTAGGCATACAATTTCAAATAACTCTTGATGCGCAGTGTTTCAAGCAGAAACACTGCACATCCAAGATTCCTACAACCATGAACACTTCAAAAAGCAAAAGTGGTCACAGTAGGGGGCGAAGCCAACCTTGGACCTGCATGGACACTTGCTAGACGAGCTCCATGAGAAAGAGCGGACAATCCACTAGCATAAGGCGCAATCGTTACGATGATGGGGCATCCCAAACACTCCTCATCTACCCACCACACAATGAGCAAGCAGGAAAATCGAACGCTCTGACAAAATATTTCAGAGACAATGACTAACACCATGCCGAGGCACCAGGCCCCAGGCCTCTGAACTCACCTCGGACATATTACCACCTTTCAGCCCAGCCAATTCGGAGGGATCGATACTCACCATCAATTACGACACGCGGAAGACTATAAAGAATCTCCCTTCTAAACAAGATCTTGCCTCCGTGCTGCACAAACTGGAAATTTCGTTCCAAGTGAGAATGGTTGCCATTTCCACAGATATAAAAGGAAAAAGGTGACAGAGTTAATACTCTGGAAGACGGCCGAGACCTCACCCAAACTCCAATACACCAACTCCGACATCAATAGAAGCACAGAACACGCAGATGGCGGCGATGTCCAGGTCCCTAGACGACCACGATAACCACGGGAGGCGAAACAACCTCAGAATGAAGGGCCTTCTGGAAAGGGACCAAGAGGATCTGCCTGCAAACCTGCAAGAACTCTTTAATCTTGTCCTCAACAGGACTGCAGCGGAGCCCATACTATTTGATAGGGCATACAGGGCGCTCAACCCAGAGGTACACCGACTGAGGCACCAATAGATGTAATTTGCTGGCTACACTATTACGGAGTTAAGGAGGACATCCTCCATATGCTCAGGCAAACAACACAGCCACTGCCATTTCATGGTACACAAATACAAATCTACCCTGATCTTTCCTGGATGACTCTCCAAGCAAGAAGGACACTGTGGCCTATCACCGATATGTTACAAACCAGAAATAACCGGTACGGGGGGGGGGGCTTCCCCCTTGCTCTCACTGCCTCTAACAATGGAGCCACTGCCACCCTGTCACCTCCAAATAACGTGGTAGTCTTTACCCAAGCCTTGGGCCTCCCAGAAGTCCAAATATCGGACTGGTATGGCCCGCAATAGGCCCAACCTCCATTAAGAATGGCGCAGCGTACACGCTGGCAAACGACGTCAAAAAGACGCAGCAACCAAGCTAGAGAGCAGGCACTCATGTTTCTGTCACCGGTCCTTCTTCCCAACACTAGTCTGTTCCATAAAGCCTGCTGGTTGGCATCCCAATCACCTCAACCTGCACCCACTACCCTTGTTTTCACCACTCTCCAGTACTCACGGATGCGAACAACCATGGCAACATCAATCTCTGGACCCTGCTGACATGCCATCATTCAGCAGAGGGACATAGGAGGAAGAATATACCATACAAACCCCAATACACACACCTCCAACTCTCGGATTAAATCACCCGTATTGCAAGTTCACTAAGCATCAACAGGTGCACATGTAGGATACAACATCCAGGTACAATACCCTATCTACCACTGTGCAAAATCTGGCAGCTCCCCTGGAACTTTCCATTACTGCATACTTCCGTGGACTTATCGAGACTCTTCCTACACAAAACCCCAGTTTATAATTCACCTTACCCGCTGAGAACTCAGACAACTCTATCTGTATTGTGGGCGAACACATCATATAATCTAACTACTGGCCTCGCCACACTATAACCTGGGCTTATCCTGGGCGAGACGCACACAGTTTAATTATTATGAAGCCAACAGCACCGGCAGAAGATGGGCTCTCCACATGTGGTAACTTGTAATTCACAAAAACTTTATATGTGATGGTCAATAACTACTGTTGCCCCCCCACACTACATTGTCCCCTATGGGATATCTATCTCTTACGACCTTTGCCCCGTCTACCGTCTCGCTCATCCCTCTGGTACTACCGCCTTCAGCTCCCTACGTAATCTCTGTCCACTACGCTTTTCCTCATACCTGTCCCCTCTCCCCGACAGAATGTATAACACTGCTTGATGTCAGAGATAAAATTACACAGATGGGAATGAGGTGATTAGATGTCACTACTGTCCTATATGCATCACCTCTACCAGGATCCAAATGTACGAGCGGCAGAGTAAGATGGTGTGACCTCAACTTGAGAAATCTCCCCCCACCCTTACGGTCTACTGGGGAGCATATCCGAGTCTCTCCTTTCCCACCCCCAATTAACTGACTGGTGTCGATCATCAGACTTAACCTTGCCTCACGTCTACCACACTGGTATCCGACTCAGCACACGTACATGCCGATTGCCACCGATTTCCATGAACCCATTGACAAAACAAAAAATATATACATAAAAAATAGGATTGCCCACCTCAAACTTTGCATGGCGAATCCATCCTTATATCCTCCCCACGACTACTTAAGTAGAGATACAAGAGCCATCCCTGAGGTGCTTGAATTGTTCTCCATTGGTTACACCCATCACCTGGGGAAAGCCACCGTCATGCTACGCTTACTACTATAGTCCATCGCACTCAATTTTTTAAATTTTTTAAATTTATCTGTAGTGTCGGCTGTGGCACAGGATTTTCAGACATTACATAGAGTACAATTTGAATAATAATGTGTTCTCGTACATCAAGTTTCATACATGGTTATTTACATGTTTTCTTACTTTATTTTTTTTTTGTATACATTATGATATCGTTTGGAAGTACAAGTTTCCTGACAACTTCTCTTTTTGTTAATGTGTATATAGTTACGTTGATTTTTGTTGTATTGATTTATTGTATTTATCTAAGGGTACCGATTGATACTACGGACACCTCACTACATATACAGATGGCAAGCCTTAATGTAGTTACATTGAATGTACGAGGCCCCAACTCCCCACCTAAACATTCTATGACGTTCTCCGCAATCAAAACTATCCATTGGGCTACTTTAGCAACTTTACTGGTGCCAAGGCGAGAGGAGTGGCCATCCTCATAGGGACACATACGCCCTTTACTTAAAAAGCTCACTACACGGACCCAAATGGCAGGCTTGTCCTAGTCAAAGGCCAGATAGGCAACACTGTAATGACCTTTGCTAACCACTATCTCCCTAACACAAAACAATGCACTTTACTCCAAAAATACCTCAGCTGTGTGGAGTGCTTCACAGAGGGGATCCTCATTCTAGGGGGGAGACCTTAAAATCTTATTAGACTGACTTAGACACTACCTCATGCTCCACTACATACCAACCCTTGTCCAAACGAAGAATGAACCAAATATTCGACAAATCACAGCTCTTCAATGGCTGGTGGGTAACTCACCCACAGACTTGAGACTATTCATACGTACTCTAGGCTGGATATGTGGTTTCTTCCACACAGGTTTCTCTACCTAATGCAATCTTGCGGATATGGTCACATAACTTAGTAAGACCATGCACCCGTCTCTTGCTGTTCCCGTACCCACCCTTCCAACCAAAAGCTTTCAGTGGAAGCTTAATGAAATACTCAATAATCCCTCTATCATCCAACAACTGAGTGACATTTTGCGACACTACTTTACAGAGAACTCATCACTGTCCATCTCACCCACAATTACATGGGAGGCACACAAATCAGTGCTCCGAGGGCACATCATAGCACTTGCATCTAAACATAAAAACAAAGAAGCACAAAGTCACACTTACACAGGACAGACAACTAGGACAGACACATAATCAGAACACATCCCTCGACATTTATAAACAACTCACGGACAAATGGTCCACCTTGCAACAATTATTAAACTCTCACGTCAAACTCAAACTCTTACTATCCAAACACTCTTATTTCACTCAAAGGGGGAAATGTGGCCGCATGCTAGCTAAAGCCTTGCAGCACAGCAGACAACAAACATTCATTGCCAAGATTAAGAAACCCCCCGGGGAAATATCTCACCTCCTACCCGACATACTGCAAGCTTTCCACTCCTTCTACTCCGACCTTTATAACCTGAGACAGATCCCACCCTCTCCAGCCGAAACTGACCAATTCTTATCCACGCGATTTAATCAGACAATCCCTCTGAATACCAGACAAGTTTTTGACTCCCTAATCTCTCCAGACTAATTCACTTTAGCGGTCAGCCATCAACCCGTTGGCAAGAGCCCGGGTCCAGATGGTTTCTCAGCCACATACTATAAAGCTTTCTCATTTATCCTCAATGGCCCATTCACGACAGCTTTCAATTCCATCACACAGTCGTAGAAGCTCACATAACGCTAATACCAAAACCAGGGAAGGATCCTACGGAATGTGGGAGCCACAGGCCGTTCTCCCTGATCAATGTAGATCTCAAAATCTTCACAAAAATTCTAGCTAATCGTCTTCGGCCACTCTTGCAGGGACTAGTCCACCCTGACCAGGCGGGGTTTGTACCCAGGAGGGAGGTTAAAAATAACACTACTAAACTTAATCCACCTCTCAGAGATGGAGTCCTTGCACAGCCACATCCTTACTATCGATGCCGAGAAGGCATTCGACAGGGTGTACTGGAGACGAACTGCAGGCTTATGGAGACGTTACAAGCACTGGGCTTCAGTCCAAACTGGATGAAATGGATCTCAGCCATATATTCCAGACCAGGTGCCAAAATTAGGGTCAACAGCCAACTCGCCGACACAGTAAAAAAACAAAAAACTAATGGCACGAGACAGGGGAGCCTTTTCTCCAAGGTATAATGGACCACCATGCTATCACACTCACTAGGATATACGAATGGGTGAAACCTCAAAAATCACAAACAATGGGTACGGCTGGAATCCCGCTCCTTCACAGCCTCTATTCACACAGTACCATGGGACAAAACGGGGAACCACTTCTTATTACCAACCCACACCCCATGATAACGCCAACCCTATGGCTATGGACTAAAATCATATGCGTCCCTAACCTGTCACCTCACCCATCACCCCTATATCCACTTACGGGAAACCCACTTTTTCCGCCGGGTTGCCAACCAGAAGCCTTCCAGAAATTTACAGCCACTGTACACTACCTTCTGGGGCCATACGGAGTGAAAATGGCATATAACCCTACCAGGACCTCTTACAGATAGACCAACAAACCAAAATACTTTGTTTCCGACATACACAACTCACTCATTTTATTAACTCTACTCCATCCCCGTTACAAGGCAATAGAACAGCCACACAATTTAAATCCACATGTGCACAACACACCCTCCAATCCAAACATCTGTCCACCTTCTATAAACTTATACAAAAAAATAAAAACGACAGGATGACCCTCTGCTAGACTTTATTAAGCTTTGTGAAAAGGAACGAAGCATCGCTCTACAACGAAAGGACTGGACATGCATATTTACCATTATCTTTAAAACATCCATAAGCAACAACACCCATAAGGGAAACTACAAACGAATTTCACTGTGGCATTACACACTGACAAGAATCAACCGATTCTTCCCCAACTCACCTAATACATGTTGGAGGTGCAGACGATCTATAGGGACCCCGGGACATATATGGTGGACATGTCCCATAATGCAAGATTATTGGGGGAAAAATAAAATCCTTAATACACATTCCAAACATACCTGAAGCTACGCTCTTCATGCTATATCCCTTCCCCATAGTTAAACACAAAACACAGCGGCCAACCTCTTGATCCCCACGAAATGGAAACACACCACAGCCCCTCCTATCAGGGAATGGATCCAAAAAGTGGACTCAAACAGAATGGAGGAACTCTCCTACCCCTTCTCACATAAGTATGATGAGTACACCACTACCTGAGAACCTTGGCTGACCTTCTTAAACACTTCTCATCAAAGTGTGTAAATGGACTCTGATCATTTGTAGGTTGGTGACACAAGCCCTTCCCACCCTGCCCACTACATGGAACTCTGAAGATTCTCTCACCAACTGTTCTAAGTACAAGCCAAGGGGTAATCGGGAGTTGACATGCGACACTACCTAAGGAACATATCTTACTCTGTGCTCAATATTAGGGTCTAAACGCGATACCAAGGGGAGGCATCAGGGCCGGAGAATTACATAGGATGACGGGGCCCGATAATTCCCCAAAACACCTTCCATACCACATGCTCCACGTTGCGTGACTTGCATTAAGGTTTGACTGTCCAATACAATGCATTTTATTACAGTCGAGACCACACAACCTGATAGATATATCATGACGTGACAGCTTTCATACAGACATGTGATCCCAAGAACCCTGGTATTCCGCTGAATGCAATTTAGACTTGGCTACCTAGTTGTACTGCATGTTTTTTATTTTTCACAATTACTGTTTTAGTGAATAAAATCTTATATTTCTGAAACCTTTTTTTTTTTTTTTTTTTTTTATAAACCCTAACATATCCATTTCATAATTTCAGCATTGCCTCAATTGATGGTTTATCTAATGACACAGATCATTACGGTTTTACTCAAGTTAGAAAATGTGCTAAATGGAATTGCATTACCACTAACAAATATATTTCTATCTGCAATGTTCTTTAGAGGATATGGCTATGAAGCAAAAAGGAAATAGATTTTTCTTGTGCCTGCAAGAGCCACGGCCTAAAAGGGACATGCTAAGCGCCACGACTAGTTGGGCTCCAATCATACATTTTGGTATAATGATCGCCCGGTCAACGTAGTTATGTTTCATCTATTAATCTATAACGTCATAACATCTTTTCCCGGATTACCAGAAGCTTTTGCGATACGTTCATACTGCACAGCTCCTAAATGACCTTACGGGCTCTTTATATAGATTTTAATAAAATATATAACATTTATTTAATTTTCAGATTTTTTTTTAGAAGAAATGAAAGCAGCCACAGGCACACAAAAAAAATATATTTTTTTTTAAAAATGATATATATCATAGAAAACACTAAAGCTATTCTTGAAGCTAACAGACACTAAGGGATGCTGTTAGCTTGCCAAGGCAAGGCAAGGTAATCTACAGGTCACTAATGATCTGTGTCATTAGATAAACCATCAATTGAGGCAATGCTGAAATTCTGAAATGGATATGTGTTAGGGTTTATAAATGAAAATTATCCTAAATGTTACTTTTTTTTTTTTTTTTTTTAATACACCTATAAAATTGGTATTTCGAAAAGATAAAATCTTTATGAAATACTCACATTAACCATGTTGGATTTTACTGAAATTCAAAAGCATTCAAAAGATATAGACACGATTTTGTCTCAGTATTTTTCTTACTTTTGTCAAGCCCACAACCATCACAAACCACTTCATTCAGATTACATATTTTTGGCTTTGCCTTTTATTTTTGCAGTGCATAGTTTAACAGACATGCATGTACAGACAATTCCCAATATGACATATGTCAAGATAGAATTTTTTTTATACATATATTTATAAGTAACAAGGTAGAGTGGGTAAGCTCAGTGGTGTATTTTGGGTCTTTTCTGCCCTAGGCATGACGGAACTCGGGCACCCCCTAATTTAAATGTGTCCCACTCCTTCCTGCCAAGTCCACACCTATTCCAGTTAAAGACTAACAAACACACACACACTGACTTGACACAATCTGATAGACACCCACAATCACTAACTCACTCACAGACACGCACACACTGATATACATACCCAATGATGCAGACACCCACCCACTCACTGACACACCCACTCACATTCAGACACACAGGCTCCCTCACAGACATATACACACACACACACACACACACACACCCCAATCAGGTTCCTAGATAGCACTCACTCATGTAATTAAGTGTTCTATTCTAGATGTAGCTAGAGCGATCTAGCACTGTGGATAAGAAAAATGTCCTGTCTCTTATGTCTTCAAACCAGTTCCATTCTGGAGCACCAGCTCCCCTTTGTTGATTTAAGAGCCCACCATGTTTAGCTGGAAACGTCATGCTCATGCTGCATAGTAGAGTACGGAAGTCATATACTCCAGGAGGGAAATGAGTCAACCAATCAAGAAAGATAACTTGGCATATATTCTGTGATTAATGCATCAATTTCCATCTGGTAGGACATGAATTCCACATATTTCGCACTTGCTCCCCATTAACATAAATACATTATTTGCGTTCAACAACCATGGTGGTTATGAGACCCCAAACTTCTTGCCATTCAACCATGAGGATGTCGACACCAGTAAGACCTTTCTATTGCATATGTTACATACATTAGTACGCACACAATGTTTTACAAACGCATCCCTGCCACAGGACATTGTTATGCTGTATATAGTGATGCAAAACTATGCTTTTCAAAATAATAAACCAAGTAGTCTACAGTAAACAGCCACATGCAATGCACATTTTCACCTCCCTCGCCCCCCCACTCACAGATTTTTTTTTATTTAATTGAAATCCACCCAGCCTCCCTACCTTTGGGAGAGCTGGGTGGATTTTTTACCTGGGGTCCAGTGGGGCTGCTGGTTGGGCTGTTTGGGCATGCTTGCTGCAGGCAGGCGGCGGCGAGGGAGCTCTGAATTGTGATCTCTCCCTTCTCCAACGTCATATTCCAGTTCCCGGCATCACTCTGCATCGCCGCCTGCCTGGACTTCAGCTAGCAGTCTGCCACCAGTCCAACAAGACATTTACCTGGGCATATGAAAGTGCCGCCCAAGGCAAATGCCTTGTTTGCCTCACGGCAAATACGTCACTGGGTAAGCTGTCTCAATGTAGTATTCAATAGATAGCTGAGTTTATGCAATAAAGAACAAATAGGATGTCAGAGTGTAAACACAAGAAAGGAGTCTCGCTATATTAACTGACATGTTGCTTAGAAGGGAGTATCCCCAGGTGTGAAAACAAACTATATGAAAGCCAAACAAATAAAAACAGAACCCCCCAGTTATGAATGTAAGAGGTTGCCCACAGCTATGCCTCCGCTCAACAAATGCCCTGCAATGAGTACACCTAGACCTGGCTAGAGAGTTTACAAAAGAGTCCCATGTTATAGGACCCCACCAGCACTGTGCCAAAATACAATTCCATGTGCCAGTCCCATTAGTGCCATGTGAGGTTGCAGGCAGGACTTCATCAGCTCACGGTGAATGAGGGCCATCGGAGGGAGTGTGTGGTGTCGACAGGGGCTTCCCATGAGGATCAGAGGCCTATGAAGGCCACTGGGAGCAGCAGGATTGGGTTGATGGTTTCCAAACTTTTTGTGAGGTACTCTCCTCAGCTTTCCCACCATTCCCATTTGGGTGTCGCCTGGCGTATCTCGGCTTGGCGGTGTTCCGTGAGGGGCAGGTTTGAACAAGGCTGTAGTGACAGGCTTTTTTCTCTGTTGCTGGGTTCTATTCCAGAATTGCCTCCAGAAGTGCTCAAATGGCATGGCTATGCGGCCCGGGTTGTGGGAGTCAGGAGTGCTAAGGGCATTGTGTCGGCGGCCATCTTAGCTCACGGATTTCGGAAATCCAGCTCCGTGGGATCCATCAAGTCTGGGCGAGACATCACCCCAGTGAGGACAGAGATAACCCCCACCGGTCCATTGGGGGGGGGGGGGGTAGGAGCATGCTTGATCTCTGCAGTCGACCCGAGAACGAGGAGAGCGGCCTGCCTCTCCTCACCTGGGCCTTCCACATGCCACAGCTGCTTTCCATCATAGAACCACCGACCTCTGGCTGAATAGCTGCAAATGATGTGGCCACGGTTCACTCACGAGTGCACAGCTTGTGTATTTATAAGAAGAAGAAGGTATTTTGTAGCAGAAACAGACGGATTTTGGATCTCAGGTTATGTGCGACCAGCCAGTTCAGCAGTCAGGCTCCGCCCTTGGCTGTGTCCTTTAATGGAATGTATAATACCCAAAGATACTTGGCAACATGTACTTCAACTTTAAAATGTGCAGAACGGAGGAGAGAAAAAAAAAAAAATATGTGTGTGAAGGGTGGACAAGTTTTGTAGATAACCCAAACATTCTGACATTTTAAATTGTGTTGGTTTACGAACTGCCAATTAGTAATAAATTTAAAACTGAATTGAAACATATTGGCTAAAATAATATAGCAGCCCCATGGTATCTATACCTCTCACATCCCGGAACTAGGGAGGCACAGCACACACCATAACACCGGGGGTCTGTGAGGACCCGGCGCACCCCGACACGTGCTATACATCATGTCTCCCCCCCCCCACCCCTCCCCTCCTTTCCTTCTCCCCTCTGCATCTAATCAACTTCACGTAACTTCTTTTCCTTTTCTGAGGGCTTGGGTGGATGCGGCTTGACCTGCCCCCGAGGAGGCCAGAGTCGGGAAGGCCCCGAACGAGTCACTAAACGATATATAGCCACGACACGAAGCAGCTCCCATAGATACGAGTCACCGACTTATATAACAGCTGACTGAGAGAGATGGAACGGGACCAGACAAGCAGAGAACTAGTTCTCAAACAAGACACAATTACCTGCTGGGAAGATAAGAACTAACACCTGTCCCATGACAGACTGGGGAGACTAGACGCAGGCAGAACGTACAACTGATCAGGGGGATACACGAACGCACAGAACCAGTCAAGCCAACGTTTCTTACGCAATCCTCCCCCGAGGCAGCTTTCTCTAAGAGATTCCTGGCTAACGTTAGGATTAAGGGAATCACTGTCGCAACAGCAACATGTGAGGAACTGGAACCCGAATTACGGATTCCATTACAATAGAATTAATAAAGCAAATCATTCACTATACTAGGTTCCATAACCTATGTGCCAACTATCATTACTCATTGACGCAATTGCTCCCCTGCTACAAGTGTCAAATAGTTTTAGTAATACACCTATTACCCCATCTTTTCCGTCAGACCAGTAAGCTTAAATCTACAGCAGAATTTTAAAGTTTGGTAGAATGTAGCTGCCCATTTCTAACTAACTAGCTTGTCATTATTGCTATGGCTTCAGCCTCAGAAATGCACACTCACCTACAGCTGTTCAACCTACCTGCATCTCAATGATTGCTGTTATGACATTTGCAAATGTTACGTAACCGAAAGATACCAATGCTCATTATTTGTATCGTTATTCAAATTGTTCTTCTATGCCCATGTGCACTGTTTTGGTGTATGTATGTATATTGTACTCACATGGACGACAAATAAAGAATTTACAAAAAAATAAATAAATAATATAGCAGAATTGGGAGATTTTGAAGAACCGGCTATAATGGTCTAAATGTTGCAGATTGGTATTCTATTCAGCACAATGTGACTCCTTGGCAGTGTCAGGAACGTACATTCTTGTACAAATTACCTAAAAATAAACCAGGCATTCTTCAAAATGACTGAAAACTAACCTGAGTATCCGATACAACTGCAGAATGTTTCAATGCAAGCACTGTATGTAACACACACACACTGCCAGTCTATCTAAATCAACGTCTGAAATGTAAGCTTTAACTCTACAGGTGAAATCATGCACGCTCAGCTTAATGTGTATGGAGCATTCAGCAAATTACAAGGCAGACCCACTAGTATGTAATGGAAATAAAAACTACTAGATAATATTCGTATTATAAACAGTGTGTTTTTTTTAACCAGCCAAATTTAATATTAAATGGTTTCTCCAACTTCTCTAGTTCATGAAATTTGTCAAGCGGTGCTAAAACATTCATATTATAACTTAAAACGTCAAATATGTACATTTCTCACACTTTTTTCTCTAAGCTAAGAGCGCCAGCTGATGCTTTCAACCAATCATTCTTGCCCATTCGGAGGCCTTGTCACTGTAGCAGAGGACTTAGCTGGAATATGGTAGATTGCATGGGTGCCGTCTATACAATTTTGGGGTTAAACTGCTGTTATATGGTTTAACAACTTATAGTGGTTTCAGGTCTTGGGACCATTTTACTTTAACAACTTAATTTAGATGAAACTTATGTTGTCCAGAATGTTTAGTTAATTATGGCTGTTTAATGTAGTAAAACAGTGCAATATGAAGATTTGCAAAGAGATTAACAGAAATGTAAACATCCCACTTGTTACGATATTCGACTAAAGATATGAACGTATTCCACGTGGTCGAGTAAATTAGATCTTTAAATGCCAGCATTGAAAGGGTAACCCACAGAAAAATTATGACACGCACAGAAATTTATTTCATATTTCCACAGCAATAAAAAAAAAAAAAACAGGCTGTGAAATCAAACAGAAATGACCTTTACTATCAAATACACATACACACACACGTCGGAAAAGGAAAACCATGGGCGTGGTGCTAAGTGAGTAAGCGTTAAATGTAGAAGGCTGACTCATGTTGCCTGAGTCCACACCTTTAAGGAAAATCATGTGTGAGTGTCTGACAATAACAAAAACATTACATTTGGAAAAGTTGACTTATTTCGTCATTTGCACAGATTTATTTAAATGTTGCATAAATACATCTTTTCCCAACCATTTTTTTTTTTTAATAAGCGCTTCATTTGTCTATTTTCATTAGATTTGTAGAGTTATTAGCAATAACATAGTTTCTATAACTTTGGCTACTGTTAATTCAAGACCCTAGAAAATATGGGCTTCAAACTGCCCCTACCCAATCTCAGTTGATGATAGAAACAGAATGTGACGACCCATCTTGTCTGCCCAATTTTCTAAATACGTTAAATAGTCGCATGCCTTATCTTAAGTCTAGGATAGCCTTATGCCTGTCCCAAGCATGCTTAAACTCCTGCACTGTGTTAACCGCTACCACTTCAGCTGGAAGGCGATTCCATCCACTACCCTCTCAGTAAAGTAATACTTCCTGATATTATTTTTAAACCTTTGTCCCTCTAATTTAAGACTATGTCCTCTTGTTGTGGTAGTTTTCTTCTTTTAAATATAGTCTCCTCCTTTACTGTGTTGATTCCCTTTATGTATTTAAATGTTTCTATCATATCCCCCCTGTCTCGTCTTTCCTCCAAGCTATACACGTTAAGATCCTTTATCCTTTAAGTTTTATCCCGCAATCCATGAACCAGTTTAGTAGCCCTTCTCTGAACCTTCTCTAAGGTATCAATATCTTTCTGAAGATATGGTCTCCAGTACTGTGTACAATACTCCAAGTGAGGTCTCACCAGTGTTCTGTACAATGGCATGAGCACTTCCTCTTTCTACTGCTAATACCTCTCCCTATACAACCAAGCATTCTGCTAGCATTTCCTGCTGCTCTATTACATTGTCTGCCTACCTTTAAGTCATCAGAAATAATCACCCCTAAATCCCTTTCCTCATATGTTGAGGTTAGGACTCTATCAAATATTCTGTACTCTGCCCTTGGGTTTTTACGTCCAAGATGCATTATCTTGCACTTATCCACATTAAATGTCAGTTGCCACAATTCTGACCATTTTTCTAGTTTACCTAAATCATTTGTCATTTGGCTTATCCCTCCTGGAACATCAACCCTGTTACATATCTTAGTATCATCAGCAAAAAGACATACCTTACCATCAAGACCTTCTGCAAATGATCTCTCTCTGCCACCCATAAAGAATTAGAAGAATTGAAAACCAATGATCTGTCTCAGTAATTTGGCACTTGACCCTAATCATGATTATCAAGAATGCAACCTTTTAACCAGTACCCTGGAAATCTAAATTCTATAGAGCACTGGCTTTGCATTGGACACCCATCTTCATTTCTTACTTTACACAATTATTTCCAGCACCACCAGTTTTGTTTCTATCACAGGTAATGTATATGTTTTATATACATTCTGGCTACCCCCTAGTCCTACAGAAAGAGACTTAAAGACCTGACTCTACTGGCCACAGAGAAATCACCACGGGACATGAAATTGAGGCCGCAACATTATTATTTTTCTTTTTAAAGAGTGTGGGCGGGCAAATATGAATTCTGAGAAAAATTGGGGTCTTGACACCAGCACGCACAGCAGCCGTCCCTGTCCTCCTCTTTGCCCGGCCTTTCTGCCCCTCTGGCAAGGGGGAGTGACATTAGCCAAGGAGGATTTGGCTGTGGGGAGAACTTGGCCTTGGCCATTAAAAAAAGATTTCTACTTTATGTTGTGTGTAGGAGGCGGGGACAAACACAAAATGAGAGTTACTGTTACCCTACGAGAAATGGAAAGTAGTAAAATCGTTTATTATGATCCGGATATTATTTAGAAACTGTAATTGTTTTTTTTCTTTTCAGTGTTTCAAAATTTGCTGTGTTTTTAGCTTTTCAATATTTATCAAGTTTTAAGCTGTAGCTGCGGTATACAAGTTATCTTATAAAAATATTATATACCCTCTAATGCGTAAAAAATAGTCTAAGCTTCATAACACCTACAACACGCCAGGAACCCTTTGGTGCCATCCCAGGTTATAAATTCAACTAATTTAGAATGGCATGGCACTTAACTGTACACCTCTGGTGCCTCTTCTGCAGTCTCCTTTTCAAATATCACTAAAGTGGGCACTTTCAGACTATGAATTCATTCCAAACAGGGACTTAAATTGATATAACTAATATAAGGGGAACTTCTGACTAAGGTGTGAAGAAGGGGTTGGACTATAAGGACCAGGTAAGTGTCAAATCATTCACAAATGGTTTGACAACTTACTGTGGTATAATGCCAAGGGCCTCTTGGCACCATAACCACTAAAGTGCATTCTCATGATTATAGTGCTTAGACTGCTGTTTTAAAGGGACAATATAAGCACCCAGACCACTTCACCTCATTTATGTCAGTCTAACCCTGCATTTGTAATTATTGTAGTTATATGTAGGCACAGAGATAGAGCCTAACCCAGCGCCAAGGGTCATCGGCTCTGCAATCAGCTAAGTGACAGAATGGTTTTTAACCCTTTCTGCACTGCGGAGGGAGCACAAGCGAGGGTACCTATAGGGTATTATAGTGCTAGGAATACAACTGCATTCCTAACACTATAATTTCCCTTTAAGTCCTTTTATGTCTCTCACAACTTACAATGTTCACCATTATGGTCATAGGATCTGAGCCACTGATAATACTACACAGTAATGGTAGCTAATGAAAACGGTTAGCGGAAACATGAAAATGTATCCATGAATTAATAATTAAAGACACCATGTCTACATTAACAAAGCAATAACTTTAGGACTGGACACATTTGGAATAAATACATTTAATAACCTGCAGCAAATTTTTTAATCACAGTTGTATTATGCTAAAAACAAAAACATTAAACACGGTTATTCACTCATTCAAGTGAGAACTGTTTGTAAACTCAAAGTGAACTTTTAAAAACAAAATAGCCAATATGAAGCATAGCTGACTTGAAGTTTTTTTCCAAATTCAACTACATTGGCCCAGATTTTAAATTCACTGTGAAGTCCCAACAATTCTCACTTTATTAAATGACTCTGTACCAATGAACTCATAATTCTACGTGTGACATTCAGCGACAAAAAAGTGATCTTTGACAGCTACACTGTTTTCAGAACACCAAAATAGGCTTCTTTAGCTAGGGATTTTAGATACATGTGGTGTTTACACAACACAAGGCATGAAGAAGAGGAGCAGAGGGAACTGACTGTGTGTGTGTGTATGTGTGTGTGTCTGTCTGTCAGGGGGTAAGTATATTTAGATGACCAACCCCCATCCGATAGCAGGTAATGGTGTTTTTACTCACATTTTTTCCTATGCCGTGCCTGTCTCCCACGCGGAGGGACCCACCTTTATAGCTAAGATAATCAAGACTGATGATTTCAGCCAACCCAATGCTTTCTTATAGGAAAGTATTGGGACACTATTGTGCATGCGCTGCAAAACCCTGGACTAATCATCTCCTCATAGACTTACACTGAATCAACGCAACTCTATGGGGAACGTTCAGCATCTCCATGCAGAGCGTGGAAAAGCTGAGTGTTGGTGATGGAGACTGCATGAGTGAGGGAATAATGGAGAGACAGGTTGGTGAAGTTTCTCTGGAAAGGCAGTGTTTACATTGAAAAGACTGCAGGGGCAGGCTATAGACACTAGAAACACAACATAAAGCTGTAGTGGTCCTGTTGACTATTGTCCCTTTAAGAATTGCAACTTTTAGAATTGAAAATAAAACTTTGTGTGTAAAAAAAAAAAAAAAAAATTGTACAAAGTTTTCATCAAAGTGCGAATTGCCTGGAATCCAAAGTGGATTTCAAGCTTTAGACCAAAATTAGCCAAAGTGGTAAACAATCCAAGTTAGCTACGTTTTTCCTTTGGCTATTCTGGTCTCAAATATAAACTCCACGGTAAATTGGCAACAATTCACACTTTAGTGAATGGATGGGATCCCTCCTGTAATTTATTTCCTGACATCATCAGTTGTTGTATTCAAAGAAAGAAGAAGGGTCCAGGCATTTGAGAAAAACCCTGTGTGGATTGAAACATTGCTGTTTTGTTGAAACTTTGTTCCAATAAACTTGTCATGCGGAGCTCTGGAGTGCATGGACCATTCTTCTTTCTTCATGTTTAACCTTGTGGGGGCTTCTGCTAGCTCGTGGCCGAGTGTACCCAGCTATAGCTCAATCGTTCCTACACATCTGGTTAGTACATATCATCAGTTGTTGTGACACGTGTGTATATGAAGAGAACAGGAGCTAAAGGAAGTCAGTTTGATCAATTCCTCTATGCAACAGCTCTACCAAGAGTTAAGATCCACACTTGTTATTGAACTCCATCTCCCATAAAGCTTAGCCAGCCTTAACGTGTAGTGCAGGAGGAGGTCTCACCTTTTGGTCATTCCCTGCCATAATAAAAGACTATAACCACTTAGCTGTCCCATTGCGGCCAGGGTTACCTCCAATTCGGGGGCCCCAGGCTGCCTGCAGTGATGGAGAACTTGTGACATTCCAGCTGTTGGGAACTACATTTCCCATGATTCAAAGAGAGCCCATGGCAGCTGGAGTGGCAGAGCCCACCATCACTGGCCCCCCCATCACTGGCCCCCCCTCCCCATCACCGGCCCCCACTATCACTGGCCCTGAGCCCTCTCCAGCTGTGCCCAGAGACCCCCCCCTATCACTGGCCCCGAGCTCTCTCCAGCTGTGTCCTGGAGCCCACAGACCGGTTACACCGAGCAGCAGCAGCCGCCCCCCCCCCGCAGGGCCCCAAAGGTCACCCCGTGCCCCCCCAGCCCCCCGCAAGCCAGAGGGAGTCCGAGATCCTCTCACCTGCTGTGCCACGGCGGGCTGCACGGGGGGAACAACCCAAACCTGAGCTTCGGGATTCCAACGGCCGCCACCGCCACAACAACAACAACAACAACAGCAGCAGCAGCTCCGCCGACCGCGCTCCACTTCCGGGATCCCGCGTCACCGCTACGTCACAGCCACGCCCCCTCCCGCCTGCTCTCCGCTTCCCATTCATCGCAAGGGCGGCGTGACGTCACTGCCAGAGAGAGACAGCCAGGGAACCATGGAGAGACAGCCAGCGAACCATGGAGAGACAGCCAGGGAACCATGGAGAGACAGCCAGCCAGGGAACCATGGAGAGACAGGCTGAGTGAGGGAACCATGGAGAGACAGCCAGGGAACCATGGAGAGACAGGCTGAGTGAGGGAACCATGGAGAGACAGCCTGAGTGAGGGAACCATGGAGAGACAGGCTGAGGGAACCATGGAGAGACAGGCTGAGTGAGGGAACCATGGAGAGACAGGCTGAGTGAGGGAACCATGGAGAGACAGGCTGGGTGAGGGAACCATGGAGAGACAGGCTGGGTGAGGGAACCATGGAGAGACAGGCTGAGTGAGGGAACCATGGAGAGACAGCCTGAGTGAGGGAACTATGGGGAGACAGGCTGGGTGAGGGAACCATGAGAGACAGTAAGGGTTAGGTAGCCATGGAGAGACAGTAAGGGTGAGGGAACCATAAGAGACATTAAGGGAACCATAGAAAGACAGGTGAAACCATGTAGATGATGTGGGGACAGGCTGAGTGAGGGAACCATGGAGAGACAGGGGAGACAAGCTGTGTGATAGAAGCATGGAGAGAAAGAGGAGACAGGCTGAGCAAGGGAAGCATGGATAGGCAGGGGAGACAGGCTAGGTGGGGGAACCATGGAAAGATAGGCAGGGTGAGGGAACCATGGAGAGCCAGGGGAGACAGACTAGGTGAGGAAACCATGGAAGACAGTCTAGGTGAGGGAACCATGGGAAGACAGGCAGGGTGAGGGAACCATGGAAATACAGGCAGGGTGAGGTAACCATAGAAAGACAGTGTGACGAACGCCCCTTTGTCTGGACATTCGCCACGGGCTACTGGAGAAGTGTGGAGGCTAGCCTCCTACCCACTGATTATGGGCCATAGAAAAGGCTGGTAAAAATTCTTGGTTCGTCGGATTCATTTGTACTGTTCGGAAACCGAACAAACTCACGAACTGGGGACCACCTATGGGCTTGTTAACCCCTGGTAATCTCTCCTGACACTTCAATTATCATGTGTTTTAATTGTGCGACTGGGTGGCCACCTTTCGTATGCACGTTCGCGGGAATGCAGTTCAGTGGTGTCGATCGCATTGAACTAAAATCGGACATGAAAACTCCCGAACACCACTGAACTTTGACAAACGCCTTCTTCCTGCCACAAATGTCAGGAGAGCACCACTCGATAGGTTTGTTCATATGAACCATACAAACAAATGCTACCAACCAGCCAGAGTCTGCGTTCAGTATTTCTTTCGCATGGAACTTCCGAAGTTGACCGGCAAAAGCACAAAACACCCTGAAACTGTTTTGGGCGTAGGACCATGTGTGTTCGGCAGGTCAGAACTTCACCCCTGTGGCGTTTCAGCTATGTTCATGGGATCTGAGCGCTTTTCGGCTATGTTGGGCGCTCAGATCAAGGCTATCTGGGGATGTATAAACTATTAGGGTTCCTCTATGCGAAATATGTATTTTGGTGTGTTTTCTATAATTTGTCATTTTATGCTTAGTCATGGTGACATGACATTTTGTGGGTGTGTTTATGGCAGTGTCATGGGTATGTTGTCCCAGCAGCAGCAAACATCCCTGGGAGTGGAGACGGTCGATCCCACTACCCAGCACCAGGCAGCGTTACCGGGAGTCGAGACAGTCGGTCTGACTCCCCAGCGGCAGCAGGATTTAAAAGGAGAAGAGACAACCAGCATTACTGGGAGAGGGGATTGTAGGTCCCTCATCCCAGTAGCACTGGGAGTGGAGATGGTCATTCCCACTAACCAGCACCAGCCAGTGTTACTGGGTGTCGCGACAGTCGGTCCGACTCCCCAGCAGCAGTATGGTTTAAAGGAGAGGAGACAACCGGTTCCTCTCCCCAGCGGCAGTGCTTGTTATCAGGAGACAGGACTATTGGAGCGGATGGTACAGATGGGACCGAAGTCTCTGCACCAACCCGACATGGATGCTAAGCAGCCTTCCTAGATCCCCAACCGCAGCAGGAGTACCAGGTGGTAGAGACAGTTGGTCTCTCTCCCCAGCAGCCGGGTGTCGATCCAGCAGTAGAGCTGGCCTCAGGGCAGAGCACCGATGGTCTCTGTCCACAAGTACCCGAGACTTTGGGAACGGGAGGGGTGGATGGGACCATGGTCTCCACCCCTGGAGTACAGGGATGCTGGGCAGCCAGCCAAGGTCCTCAGCTCCTTAGAGGAGCCCAAGCCACCCCGATTTTGCACCTTCCGCAGAGCGAGTGTCCAGGAGATGGTGCCTTCTGTCTCCCTCCCCAAGGGCTCTGAACATCTCTGAGAGGGGAGAATTGCACCCTTTCCCCTTCAGCAAACATGTGATGCGCAGGAGTGGATTCTAGCTGTTGCCCTGCCCAGAAAAACCCTGGAGTGATACCTTGGAGTGTGTGGCAGTAGGCCTTCTGGGGCACTGCACAGTCTGGGAAAAGACACCAGACTAACACAGACCCAAACCGATTGGAGGTCTAGGGTCTGGTTAGTCTCCCCAGGAGGGAGGAGATATGTGACAAACCCCCCATTGCCTGGACATTTGCCACAAGCTCCTGGAGGAGTATGGAGGCTAGCCTCCTGCCCACTGACTATGGGCCATAGAAAAGCTTGGTAAAAAGACTTGGTTTGTGGGATTTTTTTGTACTGTTCAGGAACCGAACAAACTCACGAACTGCGGACCACCTCTGGGCTTGTCACCCCTGGTAACCTCTCCTGACACTTCAGTTATCATGTGTTCTAGTTATGCTGCTGTGTGGCTGCCGTTCGTATGCACGAACACGTGGGAACAGAGTTGGCGGCCATCTTGTTCGTGGGAATGCAGTCAGCGGTGTTTGGGCATCGATCACATGGAACTAAAATCAGACACAAAAACTCCCGAACACCGCTGAACTTTGACAAACGCCTGCTTCCTTCCCACACGTCAGGAGAGTGTCATTCGGTAGTTTTGTTCATATGAACCATACGAACAAACACTACCAACCAGCCAGAGTGTGTGTTCAGTATTTCTTCCTCATGGAACGCCTGAAGTTGAAGAGCAAAAGCACAAAAGGCCCTGGAACTGTTTTGGGTATAGGACCATGTGTTCGGCCAGTCACAACTTTCCCCCAGTGGCGTTTCAGCTGTGTTCATGGGATCTGAGTGATTTTCGGATATGTTGGGTGCTCAAATCCAGGCTATCCAAGGATGTATAAACTATGGGGATTCCTTTATGTGAAATATGTATTACTTTCTATAATTTGTCGTTTTATGGTGACATGACATTTTGGGGACATTTTGTGGATGTGTTTATGGGAGTGTCATGGGCGTGTTCACTGTATTCCTTTATTGTATAAAAGCAGGCCATTAAATCTGCATTAAACAGATTAGTTTTACCCTTCATCTAGTCTAGGCTGATGTTTGGGGAACTGGGAGCTATATTCACTGCATCACTTGTGACTTGGGAGACTTATAACAGATATATATTTAGACGGAGTATAGGGGATCCGTTACATACGGGAAGATTAAGGGAAGTATGGAGAGACAGGGGAGACAAGTTCAGAGAGTGCATTTTCTTGTCCTTGTTATTGATATTCCCAGTATTCTGACTTTGGCTAATCTTGATTTATACTGAACTCTGGTTTCTCTGACTTGGCTTTCTTATCGATCTTGTGTATTTCTTTGACCTCGGCTTTTCCTTGACCATTCTCTGTCTTTCAATGTATTAATCCGGCCATTCTAAGGACCGGTTTACGTCTATTTTTCTATTCTATGTGGATGTTACATAGTTTTGCGTGTTGGCTCACATTAGTAGTCATGACACTGGGTGAATGAAGCATGGAGAGACGGGAGACAGGCTGGGTGAGGAAACCATGGAGAAACAAGGGAGGCTAGCTGGGTGAGGGAAGCATGGAGAGACAGGCTGGGTGAGGAAACTATACAGAGGCAGTGGAGACGGGCTGGGTGAGAGTAGCATAGATAGACTGTAAGTATAGATTTATTTTTTATGGGCAGTCCGGCTAGCTGGATAGATAAATTATTGAAAAGCACACTGGCAGACTGGCTGGATGGATAAAGTATTGAAATGCAGACTGGCTGGATAAATAAAGTATTGAAGGGCACACTGGCAGGCTGGATAGAGTTTAGAAGAGAATACAGGCTGTTTCGGTAGAGTTTAGTTGGTCAGAATGGCTGTGTGGATAGTGTTATAAGGGGGAGACTGGCTGAGTAGATAGTGTTATAGGGTCAGACTGGCTGTAGGGATACAGTTTAGTGCAGCGGCAGGCAATTTTCCGCACTCCAGATGATGTGGGCTACATCTTCTATAATGCTTTTATAGTCATAATGTTGCCAAAACACCAAGAGAGTTGTAGTCCACAACATCTGGAGTGCTGAATGATGCCTACCCTGTTTTAGTGAGTCAAACTGGCTGTGTGGATACAGTATTATGGGGCAGACTGGCTGGATGGATAGATTATTATACGTCTAGACTGGCTGTTGGAAAGAGTATTATAGGGGCAGATTGGTGGATGCATACAGTTTAGTGGGTCAGACTGGCTGGGTGGGTAGAGTGTTAGGTAGACAAACTGGGTGGATTGAGTTCAGAGCGGCAGACTGACCAGGTGATTAGTGTATCAGTAAGAGTAAGGAGCTGTAAACTTCCACTGTTATAGAATCTGAGCCAAATAGCCAATACCCTCTGAAAAGCCTTTTCAAATGAACCAAATGGGGGGAGGGGGAGGGGATATCCAAGCACACCTGAGGTTTCTTCTGTAAGACAGTCTTTTTTTGAAACAAGGAAGTGGAGACAATGTTTTGGCTCCTCTCTGAGCCTTTATCAAGTCTAGCCAATATCCTCTGAAAAGCCTTTTCTAATTAACCAGTCTGAGATCGGAATAGTGGAAGTATAGGATCACGTCTTTATTGCAATAGAGGAAAAACAGTCAAAACTATTTTTGAGAGCATACATCTTAAATATAAACATGATATCAGTGCAAAAAAACAGAAAGGAATCTTATCTTGGCAGGCTTAGCATCCAACGTTTTCTGTCTATTCTTCTAACAGGAAAGCAGGCTCTTCAAATTGGAAGGAGGGTAATTACTCACATTAGAAGTAGGATAACTCCTCACACACCTGTTGGCCTTGATAAGCTTAGTTACAAACAGTGAAAGTTTTGTTACAAAATAATTATACTGCCGAACATACACTTTTGCCAATTAATCCTTTTATATCAGTTTCCCTTTTACCTGTTGTCATGTGCGTGGGCTATAGGCCACGCCGAGACAGTGGGGAGAGTGTGGAAGTGACAGGGTTAATGACACCAGACCCCTGGTTACCTGTTGCTAGTCCCAGCAACCACTCAATTAACCCCTGCAATCCCTTCTACACTAACCCCCTTAGTATACACTTTACTGCCACCACCAAGACTTTTAAACCCGGGCGTCTTAGGTTACCCCACACACAGGAGAATTATAGTATCACAGTTCTACTTTTACTGATAAAACATATATAGTTAACCCTTTTTGGTAACGTGTTTACCTGAGCTTTCCTCTGGAGAGTGAAGCTCATAGAGAACAGAGACACAAGCTGATTAAGTAAACATTTAATCTGACAAAAAGGATTCACAGTGCTGAGTACAAAATACAGAAATAAATTACATACAGATAACAAATTGCAAAACAGTACATAAAATAAAATAGGAGAAAACACAAGAAATTCCTTACATGTAGTTACCCCATATAGAATTCTTGTGGGAGTCTTAGATGGTATAGGTCTCCTAGAAGTTACTGACAAAAGAAAAATGAATAACTGAACTCCCTGGATAGTCCAACACCCTCATATATCTAAACTAGTTGTTTCTCAGTGGGCAGACCAATGGGGGGAGATCAGAGGGGGTTGGTCTGGCAGTCTATTGCCCACTCTATGAAATTCCTTGTGTCCAGCTCTGGTGATGGCTATCTAGATGTTTTATGGTCTAGGCCTGGTGCAAGATCAAAGACCATAATAAATGTCATCCCAAGGTTTACAAAAAAAAAACATAATAATAATAATATATAAATAATATAAACACACATCAAACACCAACTCATGCTTTTGGCATGACACCTATCCTGAGGAAAGTCCAGACTAGGGACATAAATGTTGATATTTATGCACAGATATGTGTTTGCTTCTAAATGAAGTAATAAAGAAAGCTAACTAAAAGACCTTGACTGCAGATACCTATATGGAAACTTGTATTTAAGGCCACTATGTGGCACCTGGCATATGAAGTGTGTGTTTGGCAGAAGTGCAAGGTTACACCAATAATTGTATATCAATAAGGCTCTTAACATGATATTCACTACAGAAGAATGTAGAATGTGAGCATAACACATCTGGCTTATGACAACTGTTTGACCAAGGCTATTTCAACATCCTGATAAGCCTCTTCTTTTGTTGGTACAAGCTTGGCCATTTGAAGGCAAGTGTCTGTCCACCTTTGCACCCAAACATGCTATCATATAACTACTTATTCTCTATATAGTGAGTGTAACAAACAATGAATCAAAGGAATTTTGAACTAGCCTTATTGGTGTTTGTGTCATTACTGTTTCCTGAGCTTGTCCTGCTGTCCATTCTCTATGCCTGTATAAAATGCTGATCAGCTATATCTAGAGAGCGCCTGGGTAAAATTCCTCAGAACAGCCTGGTGTGAGATGTCAAATTAGGATGGAAGAGTGCTTTATGTAATTTGCTCTTATCTCTCTCCGGGATTCTGTCTTCGAGACTTCAGGTCTCTGATATATCTGTTGAATTGGAGAATAAATGCGGGAAATTATGAAATATAAATTCACATGGTGTTTATTTGTGCTTAGCTCAGAGACACTGGCATACATAACGTGGTCGCAGATGCCCTGCGCCGGGTGCCTGCCATCACCATTTGCGGCCCCGGGCCGCACAGCAAAGTGCCAGGGCCGCATTTTAAGGTTCTGTAGCGTTACTTACCTTATCCAGGGGCCGGCCGCGGTCCTCTCTTCGAGCCGCGCGCGGTCCTGCTGCTGCACGAGCCGCGCGCGGCTCATCCAACGGCTTCAATAGGAAGGCGCGCAGTGACCGCGAGAAGCGGTCACGTGTCCCGCCTGAATCTAAGAGCGGGCCGCGAGTCTCGGGCGTGCTCTTAAAGAGACAGTGGGAGCCTAAATTGTCAAAAGGCTCCCATTGGCCCCTGTCATGCCACACTCCCCATACACTTACCTTTTGGGGGTGTGGATATGACAGGAACCAATCACATTAGTTTAGAAGCTATTTAAACTTACCTCTCCCTTTACTCCCTGCCCTATCGTGGTTTCTGTTTCAGTTCCCTTTAGCGCTTGTTGTGTTCAGTTGTGTTTTCTTCGTATTGACTTTGGCTTTGTTTCTGACTACGTTTTCTCTTTATCCTTATCTGTTCTGGTTGCCGGCTTGCTGTTTACTGTGTACCAGACCCCAGTTAGTCCTAGTTTACGCTGTCTCTCTGTGCCCTTGACTTTGGATCGTTCCTGACTCTGTCTCCTCTCATATACGTCGAGTGTAGCGGAGATGCAATATTCCCCAGGTATCTCCGCTTATAATCCAAGTGAGGCTCGGGAACAAGTAAATTGTAAATCCACAGGCAAGGTCTCCAGCAGGCAAAATAACACAGCAATATCCCACAGCAATCCCAATAACTGGACGACACACAGTTTCAGGAGCAGAACTCAAATCTTTAATCCACACTGGCCTTTTAAAGCATGCTCCCATGCAAGGGAGGGATTACATTCATTAATACAGTAGCCAATCCTGTCCTGGTAACCTCCCACACATCTCCTCCCCTCAGCCAGCATCATAATCCCCTTATCCAGTACAGTAATTCCCCCCATTTCTGGATGTACCCCTAAACGTAGGGGTACCCCTTTAAATCCTACACCCCCCGATAGCCCTGATCTGGGTGAACAACATATCCAAAAATCACCCAGATCAGACCAGGGGTTCGGGAAATTTATGGAGGGAATAAAATGACCGACCGCACTGAGTGAAACCGCCGAATGCGGTTCCATGTGAATGGGCCCTGCGGTCGGTCCTGGAGTAAGGGAACAAACTGCATGAAAGCCTCTAGCTATAGAGGCTAGGGAGGGTTTGCCTGAATCCCCTCGTTCGGTTCTTTCTATCTACCGAACGAGGGGCCGTTCGGTAGTTAGGAACCGAACGGACCGGGCTTGTGGAGGATTCAGCGGTGTTTGCCTAGTCGAGTGTTCGATTTGAGTTCCAGACACTCGACAGCAAAACACCGCTGTTCGGGAGTTTTAAAATGGCCGCCGCCACGTGTTCGTTTGTCGAATGGCGGCCACCCCCGAGAACAAAGGACAGCTACTTCACTTGTCAATTACCCGTTCGCAACAATGTTGCAATGGGTAATTGAGGACACACTTCACACAGGGGAGGTCTGACTGTTCGGTAGTTTCATTCGAACATACTAAGGGAATGAAACTACCTTACATTCAGACGAATACAATACATTTTACACATAGAACTTAGCTATTTTACACGAATACATTCCCTTACTGCAAAGACATTTAGCAAATAGACGAATACAGTTTAAACATAATGTAAGTCCCAGGGCAGCTCATGGACATCCGCTACATCGAGTCCGGCCACTCTAAGGTCCGGTAGACGTATCTCTCCTCTGTGTTGTCTTCTGTTTAGCTGAATCCTGCGTGTTGGGGTATATTCACGTTACAGGTGCCCATCGAGTGGCCCATGCTGTCATTCTGCGTGTTGGGCCACTGTTTCATCCTGACATATATTTAACCTTCAGGAATTAGGCTATGATGATAGTTCAGTAGCTGGTAAGGGATGTTAAAATCCTACATCATTTTGACCGAAGAAGAAATTTGTTTATATTCAATCATGGGGCCCCCATGTGGACAAATTTCAGAAAGCAGTGGAGATGGACCTAATGGATCTGGCTGCTAGAGTGAAGGAAGGAAATTGTAAGTAAACTTGAGTTTAAGGGAGGAGATGGTCTTTAGGTATTTGGAAAATAATACCAATGTTGTAATAAAGAGAGCCAAGAATGTGATAGCTGCAGTTGTACACCAGGTTAAACTAAGTTGGTCATCAAACAGAGGATTTCAGACAGGTTAGTTCTAAAGAATCTTGTGATTCTATTAAAATAGAGCCTGGTTATTGTTTTTATAGTAGTATGTCTGTCAATCTTGGTTACGTGGTAGAGTTCCTTTTTTTACTGTAATGATGATCTTCCATCGCATATCCAAATGTCACAAGGGTACAACTTCCCCAATTTTTAAACCAATAGTTTTTGGCATTGGATTGCTTACCAGGATTGAACAGATTTTAAATGATTTTTGTCAATCTTTATTTTATGCGTGCATATGATGAACAAACAATCTTACTATGCCCCAACAGCATTGGTTAGGCAAGAGAGGTACATTCGTACAGTTGAAGGCATGTTATATCTACCGTATATACTCGTGTATAAGTCGATCTCATGTATAAGTCGAGTGCAGTTTTGTGACCAACAATTGTGAAATATGCTATGCCTCGTGGATAAGTCGAGGGTAAAACTTGGGGCTATGAAATTCTGTGATTTTTATAATTATATACACACACACACTCATACAAACACACACTCTGCATTATATATACACACACTCATACAAACAGACACTCTGCATTATATATACACACACACACTCATAAAAACACACACTCTGCATTATATACACACACACACTCTGCATTATATACACACACTCTGTGTATATAATGTAGTGTGTGTGAACTGGGTGGGGGGAGGGCATTTTATTATTTTAAATTTTTTTTTTTAATATTATTTATAAAAAAATTGTCCCTCCTCCCTGCTTGTTAACTGGTCAGGGAGGGGGGCTATCTTAATCCCTGGTGGTCCAGTGGCATGGGCTGTGAAGTGGGGGGGCCGGCAGGAAGCATTTACTTACCTTTCCTGCAGCTCCCTTCTCCTCCATTCCGGTCAGCTCCACTGTAAGTCTTGCGGTCTGTTTGCCGCGCGGATCGTTGCCATAGCTCTGACGGCCGCGGCTCTCTAAGTTACCATAATACAGACAGTGACTCGAGTATAAGTCGAGTGGGGGTTTTTAAGCACAAAAAATGTGCTGAAAAACTAGACTTATACTCGAGTATATACTGTAAGCACATTTTCATGTTAATAACATGCAATACACAGGTTGAATCATACACATCCAGCTGTTAGGTAGAGTTAAGTCAGAGTATTGAGGCATTTAACTGACTGGATATGCTGAGTACTACGATTTGTCAAGTTTAAGTAACAGGCTTAAGTATGTTGGGGATTTAGGGAAGTAGCTCACTAGGGTAGTTGCTTAGCCTACTAGCGCACTTGTATAGCTTAACGTTGTAATCTGGTCAGGCGTATATAGAGACATAGTAGTAGTGTTATGCATGTCAGCGGGATGTACAGCCTTGCGGCAGATATTAGAGTAGTGACTTCCCTGAGTTGTGTCAAGAGTCAGGCTGTATATTAAGTCAGGTAGGCTAAGGTGAAATATTAAAACAAGAGGAAACATGCTAAATCAAAAGTAACGGCAACATAGGTTAATGGCCACTGGGTATGGAACGTTCTTGAAAATCTCAGAGAGGAGAACAGAAAACCATATAGTGACAGGAAAATGCTTTGTTCATCTGATGCCACATAAAGGCCTCCAGAGGTCAGTGAATTCCATGCTGAACATCCATTTTTGGCCGCTCCGCCGGCCCCAGGCCTTCGCTCCAGTCCCCTGTGTTGGCAAGTCTGCCGAGCATCCGTGCGAGGTCCCGGGATCAGCTGGGGGGTAAAAAGAGAGACATTTCTCCAGTCCCAGGCCTTTGTGGAAGCCGACACCCTCTGTCCAGGGACTCGGTACCTTTTCCTGGCCAAGTCCTGGCCCCCCAAGGAGCAGGTGGAAGATCAAGATGTTGTCTACCGCCAGCGGCGTGTGACCCTCCCCCTGTGTGGTTGGTGCCTCAAGGTCATACCTCTTGCGGCTTTCAGCCTAGACGAGTGGTCGTTGGTGTGGTTAGGCTTTTGGGTTTGTGCGTTGCCCAGAGGTGTCTCTCCTGTCACTGTCTGTGGACTTCTCTCCGTACTCTGTTTAGACCGGATGGCAGTGGAGTGAGTCACAAAGCTCTATCTCTTCAAGGATGAAGACATAAAGACTTGGTTCTTTAAACCTAAGGTTAATACTGTAGTTGTTTTTCTAGCCAGACACTGCTTTCACATTGGATAACACATTCATTGGAGAACCAACAGCATAGACACAAATATATATGAAACCTAGTTGGCAAAAGGGACTGCCCATCAGCTGGCACCATATATGTCTTCTGTTATTTGGAAGATTTGAATTCTGGTGTCCGAAGGGAGATTATTATGGTGTTTTTCTACCCTGTAAAGTGGTTTCTAACTTCTCGTCTGAAGCCTTTTTGGACATTGTTCTATCACTATTAAGGGGGGTCTTATGTTACGTTTTTCTTTTTGTTATAAAGATAGTGTAAGAATAAACCTGAGGTTTCTAAAGATAACTCGCTTTTATTTATTTTTGTACCACAATTAAAAGAAAAGAGTGTCCATTTATTCCAGGTTTTAAATAACAGAAAACATTTCCATGCTGTATTGGAGTAATGGGAGTTGTAAGTGTTGAGAAAATAAATGGTATTCTCCAGTGTAGCAAACTTTTTCTTCCAAAGGATTTTAAAGAAAGAAGTTCATTAAAGCAGGTAAGCATTCCTTTTACTGCAGTGTGGAAAACAGCAAGTTAAACAGTAAAGTAAAAGCCCTCTCTCTTGTTTTGGAAATGAAATGTAAAAGGTCACTCCAGACCCTTAAAACACTTCAGCTTGCTGAAAAGCTTCATGTGGGAAGAGTGTGTCCTTTTTTTGTTCGTTTTGGAGAAAGTGCAGATTTTAATAGAAATTTATACTTTTATGAATGATACTGGTTACATCCCCCTGGCTTTTAAAGCAGACAACAGGTCATGTTACTTCCTGGTTTGGTTAGCTCATTTGCACTTAACTCAGTCAAGAGGCAGCAGTTTGCCCAGAGCACCTGCCTTGCAAAGACTTCTCATTGAGCTGCATTAGGAAGTCATTCTTTAAGACAAAGATAACGTAATGCAGTTTTTTTAGCTTGTATCTTGGAATCAGTCTGAATGAGGGATAAAGTCAAATGCATTGTGAAAGCCAAGCCAGGTCCGAATTCCGGTGAATCTTGTCCAAATGAAGGAGCGAGCTGAATGAAAAGTGAAAGTCAAGCCATGTCCGAAATCCTTTGAATCTTGTCTGAATTAAGGGATGAGCCAATTGTAAAGTGAAAGCCAAGCCAAGTCAAATCAGAGAGCCAGAGAATCTTTACCGAAATCCTAATTAAGGCGAACAGGAAGTTTCAGCAGAGGGTTCCGATTTAGCATCTCCTGGAGTACTAGAGTTAGTTCACACAAGAACAGCCTATGGACACAAACAATAGTGCGTGGAAGCCCTGACACCTTACATATCTATAGAATAACTTAATGGCCATCAGTGTCAGGAACACTTTTATAGCCACTAAATTGTTTTAAAGGTATATTTACCTTGGGGGGGGAGGGATATAATTTCTTAAAGGAACATTATTAAATTTATTAAAAATCACTGATAGGGATGTCATCAATTAAAGAAAATATGACACCTTATGTGTTAGTGCACATGAAAGCTTTAATTTTAAAATCTGTACATGGCACTAGAGTGGCTTGCATTATACCATATGTAGACCCTCCGACTCACAAATATACAATCAAATATGAAATGTTACAGAAACTTACACAAACACTTTTACAAACACTCTCACGTATACAAACACTCACACACTCAGAGTAATTTAGACACAGCCACACTCACAGACACAAACACTCTTACAAACTCTCCCAGACACTTCCACACTGTCATAGACACAAATATACACAAAACCTCTCAATTCCGCTCCAGGTAAAATAAAACACACTCAATATTTTAAAGCTTTTTAAGTTATGGTTGTGCTGTCATCGAGGAATTAGAAGTAGCTGGTGGGGAATGTCACTCACCTGTGAGAACAGCCCACTAATAATGTAAACAAGAGTAGCGACCAACTACTCTAAAATGAACCAAGCTCCTAGCTCTCGTTTTTCTGCCATGATAAGGTAAGGAAAAGCTGTACCAGGAGCTCCACTTTGAATCCAGGAACAGCTTGTGCTGCATCCTCCTTTATCTCAATTACCCATGTTAAAATTAATGTAGGGGGGGCGGAGCCTAGCACCCAGACTGAGAGGTTGTGCTGCATCTCAGCTCCTGCCTAATCCTGCACTTTTCGGGGGTAATCCCCCCAAAATCTGGCACAAACCCTCACTGGAGAGCATTTATCATGACGGGGACACCCGGGGGACTCACCCGATACCAAAACCAAGCATGCAACCCTCCGGGGACCCGACCATATAACCCGAGGCCTGCCGGAGATCGAGCTACGGGGAGACGGCCGCTCCCCGCGCTGACTGACCTGGACGTGGATACCTCTGGGCACTCACCTCCTACCCCCCCCCCCTATGGACCGACGGGGGTCATCTCGGTCCACATTAAGCAACTGGAGGGGCAGTAACAAGCAGCAACGCCAGGACAACCGAGCACATGGCACACCTAAAATGGCGGCGGTACGCGCACTGTGCAAGACATCGGAATGCCATACAGGGGTGCCGGATTGCGCGGCCAGACTACATGCTATATTTGAGGCCTTTTGGGCGAAACTGGAGATCAGGGCAAAGCAGATTAAACAAACACAATGCCTGAACAACGAGATGCACAGGCAACACAGCCGCAAACAAACTGCTCCTAACCCACACAGGGCCTCGAGATGGCGCCGCAGGAGGACACGTCCTCCGCACAAAAGCCACCACAGGAGAGGTCACCTAGCCCCAAACCGTAACCACGGAGTGCTGCGAACACTCCGCACACCCGGTACCCGACCGCACTCTTCTTCCGAGCCGGGAGCTCACCGGGAGGTAGCTCTCCACCACCACCCATACACCCAGGGAGATAACCGGGACCCGGAGGAACCCTGGGCCCACGACCCTGTTGATGGGGTCAATGGACATGTGGTAAGGGCCCCCACTAAGGCCTCGGGCCGAAGATATGCGAAAACACCCGGGAGTGATAGGAGAAGAAACGCAACAAGGAGGATAAAGCGACTGGCTGGTCGGAATGGGCAGGCAAGAAAAGCAGGGCAACCTCCTAGCCGAATGCAGGTTAGAGGGGGCCTCCCCCCAATGCCTGAAGAACTGGCCCTTGATTCTTGCACCGCCATCCCACCCTGTGGCGTTGGCTGATTTCTCAAGCGGACAACTGCAATGCCCATCACCCGGGACTCCTACTAATCATTGCAAGTGTTATAACCTGTACCAAAACTAGTGCTAGCTTTGCAACTGTCACACCAGGCCTACGCCTCACCGCATAAGACTTAGCAAAGTATTAATAACTGTATGTCTCCTTAGTTACTCACCTAAGTGTAACCTAAGCTAATTTACAGGTTACCCAACGAGGTGGAACTAGCTAGGCTTTGTTTATTTAGTTGCTTATAATTTTGACTTAATCAGATGCACAGTCCCTTATGCCCAGGCCCACGACCCAGTGGCATAACGGTCTCAATGCATGCGAGACTCAATGTTTAAATAACCGGTTTACTCCCAGGCACACCCGCCTGGCACGTTCTAGCTTGAAGTCACTAGCCTGTATAGTTGACCTAGCTCGACATAACTACCATTTGAAAATATGCAGAACCAACATATACTTTTCATCGAGCAAAGTGTTTGCTTTATCTTATGTTTAAACTATTGTTTATCTATATGTTACCGGGACTATAACCCCCCATAACTACCATCCGGGGACCAATACACACGGAACCTGATTATTCCCAAATTCCCCACGGGGGAATCTCCTGCAGAAATAACCCATGGTTATAGATGTCATGTCACTATATATGTCCATACATGTTCCTAGCCTAGTAACCAATGGCACTCTAACTGTCTCCCTACCTAGCCTGTTTACCTAACACTAAATGACCCTGAGCCCTAGTGCAGATCATATGCTGTTTTATGCAGTTTTGTCATAGCTAAACGTGTACCTCACCTGCTCAATTGAGCAAAACTGGAGAAAATACTTTAAAAGCGACATCAATATATATATATATATATTAAAACATGCAGTAGAACCTAATGCCTAGCTAAGATACTACCATGTTATAATAATTGTTCACCCAAGCAGTGGTAGCATCATAAACCTGATTAGCAATGTTTTAATACTAAGTGGAACCCTTGTGTTGTTTCTATCTATTTGTGACACATCTCATAGCCTGACAAATCTAGCAAGCTCCTTGTCTCACCTCACACAGGGCATCCATGTTCTAGGTATTTGCTGGAGCCGGGACGTTAGCCTGTCTGCTCATATACCACTGCACGTATGACAGATAGCAGTGGGGGGGTGCCCGGGGATATAGGTTCGTCAGTATTTGCAAGCAGTTAATCGCTTATTATGTTAGCGTGTTATTATTATTTGAGTTAATTCTACACAACAGGGAACTACTGAGCCTGCGCAATCACCCTATACAAAACTTGTTCACTTAACTTATTTTAACTAGTTAATGTTAAGCGACTTAAATTGCATATTGCCTAAACCTGTTTACAAACGCAACGTTAAACCATAAAACATAAAAAAGAGGTACAAATATTAAGGAAATGTTAGATACCACTGTTATTGAGCCCTGTACTGTATTCTAAATGCACATTTCCCTCTCTCTATTCTGTATCCCATCTAATATGCCTCAATAAAATACAGATTGACAAAAAAAAAAAAATTAATGTAGGACCAATTTTTTATTACTTGGACATAAAACACTAAACTAGTAGCTTAGACATATAGTGGTACATAACATTCAAAAATTAAAATGTTATATTCGTGGTTGTTATCAAATCTAACATGTTTTCAACATATAAACAGTATTTACATAGATTATTCTATGTAAAGATGGTCCCATTTACTCCAGAAAGAATACTTGTTTTATCAACTAGTAGTAGGTAATATTTAATCATAGAATGTCTTTGAATCTCTATCTCTTTTATTTTTTTTTAGGGGTATATAATAAAAAGAAGAGAAAAAAAATGTCTTTAATTTCTGAACGTACAAAATTCTATCTTTTTCTCGCTCTTTTCACAATTAAAAGACATTGTATAATTACATAGTTACATAGCTGAAAAGAGACTTTCGTCCATCAAGTTCAGCCTTCCTCACATATGTTTTTGCTGTTGATTCAAATGAAGGCAAAAATTCCAGTCTGAAGCGCTTCCAATTTTGCAACAAACTAGGAAAAAATTCCTTCTTGACCCCAAAATAGCTGTCAGATGTCTCCTGGATCCAGCAACTATTACCCCACTAATTAGAAATGATATCCCTTTATGTTATGTTTTTTGCAAGTATTTATCCAATTTCAGTTTAAACATCTGTATGGACTCTGATAAAACCACCTTTTCAGGCAGAGAATTCCACATCCTTATTGCTCTTACTGTAAAAAAAAAACTTTTCTTTGCCTTAGATTAAATCTCCTTTCTTCCAGCTTAAATGTGTGACCTTGTGTCCTATGTATAGCCCTGTTTATGAATAGATTTCCAGATAATGGTTTGTACTGGCCCCGAATATATATGTATAATGTTATCATATCCCCTCTCAGGCGCCGTTTTTCCAAACTAAAGAGATTTGTATATGTATGTAATTGTATTCATGCTATAACTAAGGACATTAGCATTGACAAAGGAACACAGCCCGAAACGTTTGAAACCTGTATGTTGTTCTTCAAATAAATGTGGTAGCACCTGGGTGTGCACTTTAAATACCAGTTGCGCATTACTCCAATTTTTTCTTGTTTTGACATTGAATGTCAGTGTTGGAAGCACCTCTAGCAGCCATCTGAGGAGTGGCCAGGGGAGGTATACCTAGGCTGTAACATAAACATTGCATTTTCTCTGAAAATATGTTGTTTACTGCAAAAAGCCTGAAGGGACTGACTATACTCACCAGAACAAATACAATAAACTGTAGTTGTTCTAGTGACTACAGTATAGTGTCCTTTTAAGTTTTTAATCCCTACTTTGTCTTACGTTTTAAAGGAAACTAGATCAGAGATCAAGACTTGAGACTTGAGAAATGGGAGGTTCTCCCGAAAGCTTAACATTCCAAAATTCTGTTATTATTGTTATCGTCATTTATATGGCGCCAACAGATTCCGTAGCGCTTTACAATATTATGAGAGGGGGATTTAACTATAAGTAGGACAATTACAAGAAAACTTACAGGAATGATAGGTTGAAGAGGACCCTGCTCAAACAAGCTTACAGTCTATCAATGACAAGGGTAAGAACAGATTCCGAGAGAGGAAGAGAAGAGGAAACAATAGGAGATAAATGAGTTTGGGGTAACAGTGCCGCTTTAAAGGGACACTATAGTCACCTGAACAACTTTAGCTTAATGAAGCAGTTTTGGTGTATTGAACATGCCCCTGCAGCCTCACTGCTCAATCCTCTGCCATTTAGGAGTTAAATCCCTTTGTTTATGAACCCTAGTCACACCTCCCTGCATGTGACTTGCACAGCCTTCCATAAACACTTCCTGTAAAGAGAGCCCTATTTAGGCTTTCTTTATTGCAAGTTCTGTTTAATTAAGATTTTCTTATCCCCTGCTATGTTAATAGCTTGCTAGACCCTGCAAGAGCCTCCTGTATGTGATTAAAGTTCAATTTAGAGATTGAGATACAATTATTTAAGGTAAATTACATCTGTTTGAAAGTGAAACCAGTTTTTTTTTCATGCAGGCTCTGTCAATCATAGCCAGGGGAGGTGTGGCTAGGGCTGCATAAACAGAAACAAAGTGATTTAACTCCTAAATGACAGTGAATTGAGCAGTGAAATTGCAGGGGAATGATCTATACACTAAAACTGCTTTATTTAGCTAAAGTAATTTAGGTGACTATAGTGTTCCTTTAAGTATCCTTGTAAATTGAAAAACTGTGTATTTCTCGAATCTAGATTGCTATGCCTGTAATTAGTTCCGCTATCTGACCACTAGATGGAGTTGATATACTATATATTTTCATGGTGATTGTCATTCCAACATTCCTATGCGTTTCATTTGGAATTCTTTCACAGTTATAATAAAATGGGTCTCCTAGTGTGTAAGATTTCTAACTATCTTTATTTAAAGTACTGCATTTTATAAGCAAACCAGAATGTGGTGTTTTGATATTTTGAGTAGTCTCTTTCACATTTAACCCATACACACTTAAACGCACCCGTACACACACATAATTATTTATATATAGTTATAGTAAAGATTGTAGTTGTATTAGTGCATTGATGCAGATGTAAAATAACAGATTAAATTAGCATCTTGTCATACCCTTGTTATTGAACTAACTATAGACTCTAAGCTCGTTTGAGCAGGGTCCTCTCGTTCCTGTAAGTTTTCTTGTAATTGTCCTATTTAAATCCACCCTCTTATAATATTGTTGGTGCCATATAAATGATGATAATAATAATAACAGAATTTTGGAATGTTAAGCTTTTGGGAGAACCTCCCTTTCTCAAGTCTAAAGCATTTCTGAGCCGGATGACACATAGAATTCAAATTTGAGTTGTGATACTGGGGTTAAAGTGACATGAGGGCAGATAAGACACAGGTCTGATAGAAAATAGACACCATTCTCGCAGACAGTCATAAATATCTTGTATAAGGATCATAGAGTGAGGGGGGAGAGAGAAAAAAAAAACAAGCAAACAGTGCAGAAGATTGTGATAGAAGGGGGAGAGTAAAAAAAAAAATAATTACACAGATTAAGAATGCATGAATTCACATCCAAGAGTGCAGAATATGCATTAAGGCCTATATACAGCATACACACACACACACACACACACACACACACACACATATATATATATATATATATATATATACACACATGTACATGTATATAATATACATATACACATATACACAAATACATATACATACATACATACATACATATAAGTAAAATCAAATGCACAATTATATGTACATGCACACATATGCATGCATCCACACACAAGCAGCAATACAAATACTTACATATGTACAAATGTGCCCACACATACTTTGACTCAAATATACCTATGTAAGCATACACATATTCACATACACATGTACATACACATACATATATATATATACACGCATACATAGATATACATACACACATACACATATAGTAATGCACAGCCATATGTAGTTAGGTTTGGGAATATTTGGACACTGGCACAATTTTCATAGTTTTGGCTCTGTACGGAATTGTCATGGGGGCTACCAGGAAAACCCCTACTACGACCTTTGAAGGCAGCACACTCACCTTCTATCAGGATATGTCCCGCCACACTATCCTCTGGAGGCAGTCCCTAGACCGCTTACCCAGCATTTATGAAACTACCAGGTACCTTATAAAATGGGCATGCACCAGCTCCTGGTTGAAAAAGATTGGCAAGACCCATTCCCTAATGAATATATCAGAGGTGTCTTCCATGGTTTGGGAACTAGGGATACCAGACAGATCCTTCTCAGCAGCACAAGGCCCGTCTTGGTCTGTCGACTGAATAACCCCGTTCATGCCCAGAGCAACGACTTCAAGCTCACAGGGTAAGCTTACAGCGTTTAAAAACATTATGTTATGGTTAAATAAAGCTTTGGCCATTGCCCTTATCTACTTGAAAAGGTGTCCAGTGTGTTATTGGGGGGCAACGGTGGGTTGGAAATGGGTCAGCAGTCAAGCATTTTGGTGTAACTTAGTGTCAGCAGAAAAGACTGACAAAACTGCTTATTAAATTGTCCTGTGTTTGCGGTGGTTGTGTAAGATGTGGGGGTAATTCACAAAGATAATATGACAACATTTTTAGGTTAAAGATTTTTTGGGGGGCCAACCTCTCACTAACTCCCCCTCAGGTTTGCAACCCTTGGATTATTTAAACATTCCCACTTGCAGGGTTAAAATGACAAGAACGTGGCTCCCAGATCACTTCGTTGAGATGTGTCTCTTTAATTCCGAATGACAAAACTGAGGTAAAAATTGCTTGTTTGGAAAAATTCTCGAAAAAAGGGAAATAGTGAAGGATAAAAGGCAGAGGCAGAAGAATGAGCAAATGGATAAAATATAATTATTACTAATTAGTACTTGGGGGAAATAAAAGAGAGAGACAGAAAGAAAAAATAGTCAGCGTAACTAACTGTATCAATATATTGCACCAAACACGTAAAGTGGGATTTAACGATATCTGCTCTTTTATTTTTTTTTCATGTACACACAGCTCTGTAAATGGAATTTTGGGGAGTAGGAAATAGCTTCACACAAAAAACTGAAGGTCAATATGATAAGAGTGTGATTTTTGGATGAGAACATAATTCTGGCCATACCCTCACACAGCTAATGATAACATGCAACTATTTTAATTTGCTACTTTTAAAAAGAAGTTATCATACTTCCGTCCTTATATTGCTGTGAATGCAAGCTGTTTCCTCTGCACCTGTGAGAGGGTACAAAGCTGTGCAAGCTGCTGTGTACCTACCATAAGATTCCAGCCACAGAGAGGGACGGGCTCTGGGTCTCCCAAAACAGAAGCCAAAGTGAGTATTCTCAGTGTATTCTCACATTATTCCACAGCACTGTACAATAGGTTGTCTAACAAACAAGTACTTGTAACAAGACAAACTAGATGTACAGTAACAGAAGGTGCTCAGATCCTTGCTCAATCGAAGCTGCATTGAAGTGAAGGATAAAATGTATTTCATGAATAGAAGAGTTTACAATAAAATATTTTGTTTTTTTACATGACACAATTGGAGGAGAGGAACTGAAGAAGGTATTTGTTGAGGTGGGGGGGAGGGTGAGCAAAGAAATTGTGTTAACAGTTTAATTATTTTGCTTCTTAAAGAAGTGAGATTGTAGTGAATTAAACAAACAAAAGGCAATGTTTACAGTGTCTCCCTAGAGATACCTCCAATGACCACTCCTCATTTGGCTACTAGAGGTGCTTCCTGGGACTGTGTTGCACAGTGTGCAGCACTGCTGTTCATTGATTCAACGCATCTCTATGAGGAGGTGCTGCCTCTTTTGCGATTTTAACCAATCCAATGCTTTCTCTATGGGAAAGCAATGGGTTGGCTAAAATCATAAATTCTGATGATGTCAGCAAGGAGGCGGCTCAAAGGCGGGCCAGCGTCGGCAGTCCTGCACAGTGCCGGAAATAAGGTAAGTTTTATTACCTTTTAAAGGGGGTTGGGGGGGGGGGCAAGTACTTTTAACAGTATATGGTCAGGAATACATGTTTGTGTTTCTGATCCTATAGGGTTCCTTTAAATGTTGTTTTTGTTAACAGTTCAATTACATACAGAGTAATTTATGATGTAACTTAAAGGGCCAGTAATGTCACCCAGACCAGTTCACGAATTAAATGGTCTGGGTGCATTGGTCCTGTCATTTTAACCCTGCAATGTAAAATATTACAGATTTGTATAAATTGCAGTTTTTACATTGCAGGGTTAAATACTCATCTAGTTGGTGTCTACCTTCTCCAGAACTGAGTGAAACTTTGTCCTTGAATCTAATGCTGCTGTTTAGGGGAGGGTGGCCAGACACCACTCATTTACAATTCATTGCTTATCTATAAAAAGCAGAAGCAGTGGATTGGAGAAGATTGCAGAAGATGCCAACAGGCATGTTGATGACATTGAAGGCTGAAGGGGGAGGTGGGGTGCAGCGGAGGAGTCCTGGCTCTAGATAAGAAGCTGGTAAGAAATCCTTATTTAAACTACTTTTATTTTTTTTATAGCAAAGGGAGTGAGACAAGGGGGGTGGACAGAGGAAAATGTATAGTCCCCCCAAAAAACTACAGTTATTTTCGGGACTATTGGTTTTCCTTTATGCCGTATTTTTGTAACAAAAAGGAAACTGCGGTTTTAGAGGGAGGAAGAGAGGGCGAAAGAGTAGACTT